TGATTATACAGGACAAAATACATAATCGGAGAAAGGAAAACCAGAATATTCAAACTACGAGAACGAAACTTCTGAACTATTGCGTGGTTTGTTTAGAAAGCAACGAAGGAGACTGGATTGAGTGTTGTGGCTGTGCAAAATGGGCACACAAAGCTTGTACCAATATCTCTGAATTGAAACTGTTTTGAATTACGTTCATCTAACGATCTGTTCAAATTCTATACCAAAGTTTAACCAAAGTTTCGGTTAACTATTATAATAATATTATTTGTTTCGTTGCTTTATATTGGTTTCTAGTATTGTTAAATTATAAATAAAACAGTATAGAAGGCATTAAATATTAAAAAAGACCTTAAGTGTCCGGTACTAGGGGAATTCCCTCATCTATTTCATAAGAAAGTGTGTTTGAGTAGTAGTAGGTGGTCGAAAAAAAGTCTTCGGAGTGCAGGGGGTTAAATATAGCTTATTTTAGACAAATTGCTAGGATCGAATATTGAGATTAATCGACGTTCGGGCAAGAAATCGTAAACAAATTGTATCTCGATCGGAAGAAAACGGCTTCGACGCGGTTCGAGTCCTCTCAGGAGCGACGTTGGCGGCCAAAAAAGCGATCCGGAGCTATCCTGGCGGCCAAACTCTTGGGCAGTCGCCGAAGAACTCTATGCCAGGACACGTCGTCGCGTCTCCCTCCCACCGTGGCCGGTGGAGAGGAAGCGAGGTTCGCCAGCTCGAGAAGCAGTGCTCGCTGGCCCGTTTTATCTTTCCTCTCTTGGCAAGAGCGACAGCGCAGATCGGGACGGGGAAAAGACGCGGGTCGAACGAACGACGAGGACGCGAGCATCGACGTGCAGAGGCAACGGAAAGAGAGGAGACGATCCTCGGAAGAGAGAGGCGAGCACCGTTCGTTGAGTAAGCTGGATGAACGAGAAGGACGCGTTCGCAGGGGAAACGCGCGTGTAGGTTGGTACCTGTGGCTACACAGGCATCCGTTGAGCGAGCCAGAGTCAAGGCCGCTCACTGCTCCGCCGTGAGAGAGCTACTAACTAGCACGGAAACCTTGCCGGCATAGAGTATAGAGCCACGTCGAGAGCCCCAGCGCTCCAAAGGATTACACTTGCTAGGTGTTCACTCGGATTCTGGATGAACTGACTGATATCGACCCGGCTGATCGGGTTTGTCCGGTGTTTTGGAGCTTCGATCACCTCGCGGTTCGCCTTGGGCCATCGTCATCCATTCTTAGGATCATCGTTCCTCTTGCAATGTTTCTTTTATCAATTATATTGCTGTAACTCGCAGAACACCCCAAAAGCTCGTGAGGAATCCTCGATCCCCGAAGGGTGGTTAATAAGTACACTTTTCACCCCTTATAATCAGTTTATCCAGAAATGGTTAGCTCGTTGATTTTCCCCAGGTGGCTATTGTTGGATGATTCATTTTGTATTTTCATTTTTGACACTACTGTCACCGTCTACTAGACTGGATCGATGATATATATATTAACCGTGTCTTTTTCTTTATATCTCAAAAGTTAGAATATCTAGTAGCGAAAACAAGTTTTCCGTTAGCAATAAATGAATCTCCATGAGTTTCCATCTCGGTTTGTTAATCCCTGGTCGTTCGATTTCGGTCCACCAGGACCCTCGAAATTTTGATCCACCGATAACGAGTTAACAGAATTCCCCAAGCAAGTAACGCCTCCGTAGCAGAGCAACGAGAAGTCTGTTCGTTCGGCTCTATATAGAATCGTTGTGTGCTACTTACCAATATGTACACAAACTCGTTACGGCATCGATGTTGAGCCGGTGCGTCGAGTCGTGCCACTGATTTATCGGGGCTTTAGTTTCTCCTTTGCGGCTGGATCTCTGGGCAAATTCGTTCTTGAACGCTTCAGCTCCAAGCTTCGCGAAAATTTTCTACCGATCGTTCTTCTCGCGTCTCGAAACCCTGATGCGCTCTTGCTTCGATAAATCGATCTACAAGCAAGTCGAAATTCTTCAAATTTGAGTTAACACTGGATTTGAAACCTTCAAGCTGTCTTCTGTTTATCATCAAAGCCGATTTACTTGCTACTTTGCCGAGAAATGGCGAAACTTTTGTTTGTCATTAAACAAAGTTAGCAAAACATTACGAACCATAATTATTAATACTTTCTACCAATTTTCCAACCAATGTGGCGACCTTTGCCTTTGAGTTCGCGGTTCATTATGGATAATTTGCAATAGGGTGATTGTTTTTCGCTTTCCATTCGGTACAGACTCGTGAAAGCGCGAGGAGAATCGGAAAACTACGTGAGATCGACGATCGGTAATTTTCTTTGGCGAGAAACTGCTGGTCGCTTGAATAATTAATTAGCCAGCGATTTGTCATCGTTAAAAGGTTTCGCCGGTCTAAAGCAGTAGATAGGAGTAGGTTAATGGCCGAATAGAAGTTACAGAGGCGAACGCTAGCGAATCGTGATTAACGACCGGCGTCTTCCCTGGATGACAGGATGAAGGAGATTGGCTTGTTAAAACAAAATAGTAAGAGTTACTTAAAATTCCATTAAATCGTAACGTAATTACTGTTTTGATTTCAAATTATTTTGTCATTTAGCACTCGAGAGAATTAATGTCAAAGCTTCGAACACCACTGATATAAACGATCGAGCCTCGAGTGTTGCGTCGATTCGCGTTAGGGATACATGCAAAATCAATCATTTTGGCGTGGATATCCAGCGATTTGGAAATTCGATAAATTCCAGGGGACTCGAATAATGATATTGCGAGATTCTCATGAGAAGTTGACCGACAGACGAAGAGAATTGAGCTATTGGACGGCGAAAAGATCGGTCGGATCGCATGAACGACGCAGAAGGGGTAATAACCGAGTGACCACCTAGCACGGTCAGTGTCTCAGTGTTCCAGCCGGATGTTTTCGCGATGTTCAGTACTTCCGTGTGATCCAGGGAACCCGTCCTCGAGCATCTCTTCGCGGAATCATCGAGAAAGTACCTTCGCTTTTCGCAACGGGAGAACATCCAGCAAAATCTTACCGAATGGAAAGTCGGTAAAAATTAACAACAACGATAATGGGGTCTCCGTACTTTCCGACGCCTCGCTATAATACTCCTACAATCAAGAACAGTAATAATTTACATTCGACACTACTTTCGTAGACTCGAGATTAAATAATAAAAGTTCATGTTTTCATTTGGTCCTGAAAATTAAATCTACTCTGTCAACTGTAGTAAAAAATATTGCTTATTGATTTATAAGGAGAAAACCAATAACTCGTGCAGCTACTTACGACCCTTATAACGCACCAAGCGTTTATGCAATAATCGAAGTACTACTGCGTCACGCAATTAACGTACGTTCTAGATTTCAAAGATCAAAATGGTGAATTTGGAGTGCAAAGAAGAAAAGAATAATATAAGATTTACCCTGTTTTTATTCATCGAAAACCAAGAATTAACCTCGTGCAACTACTTATGATTCTTACAACGCACCAAGCTTTTATGCAATAATCGAGGCACTACTGCGCATACGTCTCTATCAACGTACGTCTTGTTGATTTCAAAGATCAGTTACCATCCGAGCATGATAAAAACAAGGTTTTTGGAGTGCAAAGCCTGCATTTCAAAACATCATTACGGATTTCAACCTAGTGTCAAGAAAGCTACACGTTTGGAGCGCGAAAAAGTTGCATTTTTTCGATTTCGGGGGCCTCTAGGAGCCTTATTTCGGCCCTGGTCGTACCCCTTCGGATTCTTCGTTCCACCGTGATTCGTTCGGGCTTCTATCCGCGACGAGTTCGATTCCGCTCTGGTGAAAGAAAGGCGCGTGCAGCGGCGGCGTACTTTCACCGACCGTGACTTCCATCGCTCCGGCGTTCCATTCGACGAGTTTCACAGGTAAAGAGGGTAATAGAGACGATGTCGCCACGTAGGTTACTGGAACCCGTTTCCTCGCGGCCGAACGAGTCACGGGCGTTACACGCGCGCGCACACTCGCGGCGTAACGCGTCTCGTAATCACCGGAAACATGGCGAAGAGGAACTCGCGCGGACAAATTGCGGCGCTTTGGCCGCTCGCGTGCTCCGCAACGCGCGAACTTTTCCGCATTTTTCTTCTCCCCGTCGTTCCTTGCTCCGCTGGACGTTCGTAGTTTCTTGCAACTCGCCACAAATCTGAAGCTTAATTTTTTTCAACTCTCGATTATTTGTTTATTATCGTTGGCCCCAAAGCGTGGTACCAAACTTCAAATATCACTTTAAAACTGGTAGAAAGTATGCCAAATCGATTAAACGATGTAATAAGGCATAAAGGTGGACCCACGGAATACTAGAAAATTGATACAATGTTAAAAAGTTACCATAACATGCGATTTTTTGACAAAATCTACACTGATACGAATACTTTTGTGAACTGCTATTATGTACTATGCAGAGTAAAATCAATATGTTTTTATTAGTTAATCAGTTTTGTTATAATTTGGTATAAATAAACTTTATACACGTGTTCATTTATAGCTAAATGTTTATTGCAAAATCTTACATGCATCGATTGATTTCAACAAATTTCTCTTACAAGCAACGAGGGTACGAATACTTATGGGATTAACTGTATATTAGGTCGTTCCAAAAATTCGTGCCGTTCGATATTTTAAAATTAACGAGGATACAATTTCTAATTCGATAGAAAACAAATAGATATCGTGTCGAAGCTCGAAATTTGGAATTTACACTGCCTCACAGAATGAAATTTTCTTGATCGTGTTCGAGCTTATTAGTTGGGTTTCTTATCTATCGTACGTTTGGGTATAAAGTTCCAGACCATTGCAGAACGCGGCATTTTAACAAAAGGTGTCGGTCATCTTTGATGATAGGTCAGCGCAGCTTGCAATGTCGCGTCGGCAGATAACGTTAAACGTATTCGCAGAACCCTACAAAAATAAGATAATCGAAGAGACTGGGGGTGATTGTTTTGCCAGTTGATAATTTGGTAATCGGTGTGTTCGCAGGTAGGGACGAGCTGTCGCAGCCTGGCTCTTTGAACGGCTATGGAAGCGGAGGCGGAGGAGGTGGAGGAGGCGGAGGAGGCGGCGGTGCCGACGGCTGCGACGCCAGGAAGAAGAAAGGACCGACGCCGCGGCAGCAGGAAGAACTGTGCCTGGTCTGCGGGGACCGCGCCTCCGGGTACCACTACAACGCCCTGACCTGCGAGGGTTGCAAGGGCTTCTTCCGGCGCAGCATCACGAAGAACGCGGTCTATCAGTGTAAATACGGGAACAATTGCGAGATCGACATGTACATGCGGCGCAAGTGTCAGGAGTGCAGGCTGAAGAAGTGTCTGACCGTCGGCATGAGGCCGGAGTGCGTTGTGCCGGAGTATCAGTGCGCTGTGAAACGCAAGGAGAAGAAGGCGCAGAAGGTAGAGTCGATCGATTCCAACGATCGTTCGCTTCTAGATCATTTTCAATCCATGACAATCTTCTATTTCTTCAGTTTTTTCCACTTGACCCTTTGCACTCGTATTTGTATTTGAGAAGGCTTATACACATGAGAAGAAATTCTTTCTCACAGTCGATCGAAACGAAACCATTTTTATGGGAACATATTACAATTTATAAACTTAGTAGACAAAATTAGAAAAATACTTGAACAATGATCTCGGGAACAAATTAGCCAGGACAAAGGGGGAAATATCTTTTACCTTTTATTTATTTATTTTATTTTGTACAGGGTGTTTGGTCACTCATGGGAAAAATTTTAATGAGAGATTGTAGGGGCCAAAATAAGACGGGAATCAAGAGTACCAATTTGTTGATTGAAGCTTCGTTAGAAAGTTATTAACAATTAAATTTCCGCCCGTATTGAATTTTTTTCTCGAAATCGCGCAAGATTTCGGGGGTATGTCTATTCACCAAAAATGGTTATAATTGACCCTCGCAATCAAAAATAATTTTTTTAGAACAATTTGAAATTTTTTAATTTCATCGAAAAACCCCCTGTCGGTTTTTCTTAAAAATTCGTTTTTCATTTTTAATAATTTTGTTTGACGCCCTATAGAAAAGTTGTCTGATACTTTTTTGTAGGTACCCATGACCCCTACTTCAGAAAAAAGTTTCATTGAAATATATTCACTATTGCAAGAGTTATGGCTGTTTGGAAATTGGACCATTTTTATGTAGTTTTTCTCACTTTACGGGGTCAAGGAATAACGTTTTCAATATTGTTAGAATTTCTACATATTCTTCACTAAATTACGCGTTATTTGCTTTTTGAAACATTGAAATCCTTCAATCCATTCAGAAGTTATGATGTTTTAAAGATACACACGAAATTTTGGAGTGATATTTCTGACCTGAAATTATATTTTCGGTTAAGGAATTTTTTTCTCGGAAATGGTTAGGATTTCGAGGGTATGTCTATTCACCAAAAATTATTGTAATTAACCCCCGCAGCTAAAAATATTTTTTCCAGAACGATTTGGAAAATTCTTTTTTCGCCGAAAAATTTTCCGATCGGTATGGAACTTTTTAACGAAGCCTCAATCAACAAATTGGTATTCTTGATTTTCGTCTTATTTTATCCTCTAGAATCTCCCATTCAAATGTTTCCCAGAGGTGGTCGAACACCCTGTATATACTCACACACTTAAGTCGAAACTAAAAGAAAACATTGTAAAAGGGGGATTCTGGAATGAAATACTAACGTATATGTGGCAACGTACGAGTGAACTACTCGCCACTCGAATAAGAATTGAAATTACTGAATTACCAAAACGGGGCTTTTCGACATTTTTAGGGGTAGGCCAGATTTTGTTAAAGCGAACGGTAAAGCTGCTTTTTGGGGGGAGGGACCATGTTATTCGAAACAGCATCGGTGCGCGCCGTGTTCCGGCGTTTCACGCGATGACCAGTCACCGAGCTTCACGTTCGTTTACAGGAAAAGGATAAGCCGAACAGTACAACGATGAACGGTTCGCCAGGCAGCGGAATACGCAGCGACCAAATGGGCGTGAAGATCGAACCAGCGGAAGCCGAATCCTTGTCCACGTCCGGGAGCAGTGGTATTCTAACCCCCGTCAGCCCTTACGGCTACGTGAAGCCGATTAGCCCCGAACAGGAGGAGCTGATACACAGGCTCGTCTACTTTCAAAACGAGTACGAGCAACCCAGTGAAGAAGATCTCAAGAGGATCACGGTAAGCACGCCTTGAATTCCTTCGAAACTCTTTGTGAACCAAGTTTCATGCGTTGCAAAGCCTCGAGGATGTTCCTCGACGTTAGAAAGATTCGTACACCGAGTCGACCCTGATCGCGTTAGCCATGTATCAAATTCGAGCAAATGTATTCTACACATTCATTAGTAGAGCCATAAATACAGATTTGGAGTCTCACCCACCATTACTTGCATATTATGGCATTAACGCGTTCACTGTCCGGTCTCTTAGCAGCGTATCCAAAAGCGTGATGCTATGAACCGTATACGGGTCATATACAGTCAACGTGTTAGTTATTTGATTTAACAAATTATCGTTACTTTCTCAACGACCCAATATTTCGAGTTATCCTTAACGTAGAATAATATTAACAATGGCGGTCACGTGTTGGTGATTTCCAGAATCAGCCGTCGGAGGGTGAGGACATCAGCGATTACAAGTTCAGGCACATCACCGAAATCACGATCCTGACGGTGCAGTTGATCGTCGAGTTCTCGAAGAGGTTACCCGGCTTCGACGAGCTGTTACGCGAGGATCAGATCGCCCTGCTGAAAGCCTGTTCCAGCGAGGTGATGATGCTCCGAATGGCAAGGAAGTACGACGTGCAAACGGACAGCATAATATTCGCCAATAACCAGCCGTACACGAGAGACAGCTATAACGTAGCAGGCATGGGCGAAACGATCGAGGATCTGCTGCACTTCTGTCGGCAGATGTATGCCATGAAAGTCAACAACGCAGAGTACGCGTTGTTAACGGCCATTGTCATATTCTCAGGTACGCAAAGGCAAACGCAACGCCAGCTGTTAACGTTTCCATCGAGCCAAGTTTCTCGAACCCGGGTATATTTCGTTTTGTCCGTAACGGAGAAATACATGGTCGACATTCCTGGTTTATATTCCACAGATTTAGGCTTTCTTTTCAAATTAACTTGATAGTCGAACTAGCAATGGGAATTAATTTCTGAGTCCTCATCAAAGTAAATAAATGGGCAGATTCGACGCCTTAAAATCGGCCATATTTAATTTGTAGACAGCGTACAGATTTATATTTTTAACCCTTAAGTGGATTATCGGGGCCCTTCGCAAGTTTAAACTATTAATATCCTCCATTAGTTCATTATTTTTTATATTCTGTGGAGTCCACATCGCTTCCCGTACTCGCCGCCAGAGGAATCGTTCTTCTCGCAAGCACTTGACCGACCTTCCGTTTGCATATGTACAATCCTCGACCGACTCCCAATATCCTCCTCCCTATCCTTTTCTTACAATATCTTCCACAGAACCCCCAAAAATGCTTTAAAGGAAAGTTAATTTCTATTTACCAATTTGTAAAATAATTCAGTAAGGGAACGAACATAGTTTATATTTCAACTCTCGAGTCCCTCGTGGTCCCTTGAAACATTCCCGAGCGAATGTTCCATTCAAGGGGTGGTGTTATCGTTTGGTTCGCAGAGAGGCCAAACCTGCTGGAAGGCTGGAAAGTGGAGAAGATCCAGGAGATCTACTTGGAGGCGTTGAAAGCGTACGTGGACAACAGACGCAGGCCAAAGTCCGGCACGATATTCGCCAAGCTGTTGTCCGTATTGACAGAGCTGCGGACCCTCGGTAACCAGAACAGCGAGATGTGCTTCAGTCTGAAGTTCAAGAACAAAAAGCTGCCACTTTTCCTCGCCGAGATCTGGGACGTGACGCCCTAGTTTCCCCGTAGCCGGTCACCGGCGCCCGCGCCGATCGGCTAACAAGTGTTTATCAGTCCGCGCGACGTCGAAGACGACGCTGGAGCGCGGCGAGAGACGACGAGCTAAACGTGGACGTTGAGATAACGGCGTGCGCGACATGTTGTACACTAAGTGCACCAACCATGCCACTGCCCTCGGCGTCGACGAAGTCGGCCGCGCGTCCGAAAACAAGCAAACCCAGGTCGTTACGAGTCGCTACGCTCAGTTTCCCGGGGCTCTGCGCGGCCCTTCGACGAAGAGACCGGAGAGAGCCAAAGGCGTCGCGTTCGAGCCCAGACGCGGGGAAAACGAGAGCTCGAGGAATAAAAGTAGGGATTACAAAAGAATACGAAGAAGGCAGTGGCGAGGCATCCAGGCTGTGATACGTAGAGACAGTACAGAGACTGTAATAAGGAGCTACCTACAGTTATGTTATTACTATATCCTCTACCTGGCTACCCCCGGAATCGATATGTAAATGTCTAATGTATAATGTAAGGTACAGGTTTAAGGCAGGCGCGTCGTACGTGAAGATTTAAGGCAGTACGAATCTAAATAAAAGCTAAGACAACAGAGTTAGGAAGCGAGAGAGAGAGAGAGAGAGAGTACGAGCGAACGAGAGAAAGAGAGAAAGAGAGAGAGAGAATGAGTGTTCAACGTATGCGTGCAATTCGGATGAGAAAGACACGGAGAGACGAAAAGATGATTAAGAAAAAAAAAATGATTATCGCACTAGTAGCGTGCCGGACAGAGGTCGAAACAAAGGTCGGGGCAGCTGTTGAGCAGCTACTCGGCCACCCACGAATCGAGTGCGAAGTAACAAACAAAAAGAAGAATAACAAATGATACGATTATACATAATGATACCATAGAGTCTATATCACACACATAGCATAATAATATATTGCTAGCATGTACATTGTTTATACGAGAAAGGGTAACGGGGGTGAGACAGAGTGAACGTGAGAGAGAAAGAAAGAAAGAGGTTTCGAGGTAAAGGTTGCGTTTGTTTCCGGGAACGATGTTACGGGGAAACGAGTATCTCCCGCGACGGAAAGGTCGGAAGACGAGGCTTGGCATTTGCGCGCGTCCGGGATTTTCTTTTTCGCGAACTTGGCAGAAGAACGACGGGTAAACGAGCGGGGAACGTGGGAATAACGTAGTAGAAACGTAGGAAGTAAGTAAAGTAAGTAAGCGAGGCTAGTTGGTAGTAGGTCGTAGTAAGTCAGTGAAGCTAGGCTAGGTGACCGAGTTCAAGTGCAAAGCCTTGTGCCTTCAGCAGCGGACATCGGCTCACCGACAAACGAAATCATGAAATTTAACCGTCCGTTTTAATTTTTTAATAAAAAAAAAAATCAACAAAATCAAGTAAAATATCGTAAAAATCTGTGCGGAGCGAGAGAGCGTGAGAGAGAATGAGCAAACGTGGAGTTAAAAAAGAAATTATTTAGACGGTTGAGAGAGTAGGGATTGAAAGAGGGGTAGAACGAGAAAGAGTGTGAATGATGATCGGAGGGAGGGATTCGAGGTAGGGAAACGGGTTTCGCGAGAAATTTACAAGAACTGGATGGTGTGCGGTATAAACAAGAACAAAGATCTTTCTAAGGAGAAACACGGAACAGGGTCGCGAAAGATGGGGAAGAAGTACAGGTTCGGTGGAAGGGGGTTGGAACCAGTGATCATCACGGATTAGGAGTACTTATTTGTTTGCTCGACGACTTGAGACTTTTGAGACTCGCCAGACCCTGCAACGTAATATGCTAGCATAAAATACACGACCGTCGTAAACAAACAAGAAGGGGGGGCGCTGAAAATTGAGAACAGCAGATAGCCCCGGCAGCTTCTGGGACTGATTTTCAGTTCGCTCACCCTCGAGATAGAAACTCGTACACTGGGGGTAACAAAACACTTACACGCACGTACAGTATACACGAACGCGCGCACACAGACAACGACAAACACGTACACGCGCTCGCAAAAATCGAACGACCGAGCGGAGAAAAGCAGTCGAACGCAATTGATAGGCACACACACACACAGACACATACACACTCACGCGTCGCTACAGTTACATGTACACTAAAATTCTCGATGTTGTAACACTGTAACTCTATGCTATTAACTGATTGTACGCAGTTGTATTCCGTAGTAAATACCAAACGCAAGTTAAGCAAAAGAAACAAAAGAAAAAAAAAATACGTAATTCGTGTTAACATGTATTAACGCGTGCGAGATGGTAATCCGAACGAGAGACAGGAGCGAAAGGGAGAACGCGCGGTGCAATTCAGTTTTTTTTCCAACGACGTTTCGAGGGGCGTAATTTAGGGGGAATAATCAACAATGAAAAGCGGACAGTCAGATAAGAGCGTCGGTTCCATACATAGAACGGTGAACGAGACGGGAGCGACTGCTAGTACTTCGCCTAGGACATCTAGAAACATCGTATATATGTATATACGTATCGTGTTCTACTATTGTAACGTTATATCTGTTACGCGTTAAACGAAGCAAATAGCAAAACGATAAATTTAAACCATTGCACGCGTGTAAACGTTTCTCCTTCGATCTCGTCGCTCCGTGGCGGTGGGAAAGACGGCCCCCCAAGATCCACGATAAAGAACAATCATTTTAGATGGCTTCCCGACACCCCGGAGCGGCGTGGCTCGAACCGCGGAGACGACGAAAAAAAAAAAAAAATACAAAATGATTAAAGAACTGTACACTAGGTAAAACGCCGTAAGGCAGACACTGCCACACCGCAGAGTGTACGCGAGAACACCACGAAACGAACGTCGCAAGAAGCACGGAGCAGAGCTAACACGGTGAAAAGAGTACATCGAGGAGAGGACGCGCGAGGAAATAAGGGTTGGGGGAGGGGAATACAAAAAAGCAACGTCACGCAAACCATCATCGCCATCTCCTACCGACGACGCGCGTCATTTCAGTTTCTTAACGACGAAGATATCTATGTGTACTCTCGGGAACTCGGAGACACCGTCTCGAAGCGTTGCTGGCCCGCGAAAACAACTTACGAGCTCTTCGAGGCACTTTAAGAGCCCGTGTCCGGATCGTTTAGATCGAGCTACGTACTTGAACAACATAGCAGGCGATGCAAAGGGGGCGTTCTTGAAAATCGAAGTATAATTAAATAAACTGATTCGAGGCTTCTACTGTCGAATGTATGGAAGCTCCAAGAAAACCTGGGCCCCATCGTCCGAAGTAGGTAGCCTCCAGATGCTCGTCATCGAGGAAATTAACATACGACTTCGAGGAAGGAACTGAGAATAGAAACAGCATCCAGGAGACTCGATGAAACGTAGAACTTCTGGCTGGTCGGCAACGCGTCGAGATAGAGAGGGAACCTGGTACAGAGACAACATACAAAAACACTTGCACGCACCTGTACTCCGCATTGTTGTACCACACACTCGTGCATCTACCGCGTTGAGTGCTTTCAGGCATCGACGTTTTTATGTGAGAGAAACACGTGAGAAAGAGACAGAGTGAATGAAAACGCCGAACGCAAAGGGAGCAGGGAAGAAGTTTCTTAAAGACACAGGCCACACTGTAACAGGCATTGCCTCTATCGTCGATCTGCGGCGTCGTCGAGGATACCACTGATCGACGAGCATCATCGACACGTTCGTTTTGGGCTTCTATAATTCTTAACGAGTAACGTTTAAGGGTACTGCGCGCGAGGACAGCTTGCAACATCGTCTATTCGTACTCGAGACTTCCTTTTTGATTCGCTTTAGGTAAACACTGTTTAGATACGTAATCTGTTTAAGGGTACTGCAACGGTCGTGAACACGTTCGCAATTCGTAGAATTGTTCTCGCATGTGCGAGCCACGGGTTGACGTTCGCCTCAGATCAATTTTGACCTCGGTTTGATCAGACGAGCTCTTTCATTCTTTCTTAATCGCATTAACGACTTGATTGGTTAGAGATAATCGATGATGATCGTTTAAATACTGGTCTAGAAAAGTAGCTGGACACTTTGCGTGGAATTTGTTTTTAGTAGTCGGTTCAAAAAACGCATTTCATATCTTATATTTTGTGGTTTTCTTCAGAGTCGTTGCTTTGGTTGCTAGAAAATGCAGATTTGCAACTGCAATTGCTAGAAATAAATAAGATAATCAGTATAAGCCGTTCACTGTCCATGACCCGTATACGGGTCATAGCGCCACGCTTTTAGATATGTTGCTAAGGGGCTGGACAGTGAACGTCTGAATATTATTTTCTATGATCGATATGGACAAATCTATTGCGCGTTTCAGCTTCGAGGAATAATTTCGTTTCTAATGAATCGTTTGTTGGACAGTTGAGTGGTGGATCAAGAAGATTTTGAATTTTGACGAACAGGAAAGATTTCAGAGCTCGACTCATCGAACAACGTTGTCTTGTTTTTGGTACTCCCAGCTAAAATAGGGAGTTCGAGAACGTCAGCCTCTCGCAAGCGGTCACGAGAGCCTAGAACGGAATCGACAGTCCTGCAGGGAGATCCCCTATACTTTGAAGCGCAGAAAAATCGTCACGGACCGTCGACGGCAGGTCGTCATCGACACTGTTTCGTTTCGTAGAGTTTAGAACCAACCCCTTTGACAGATGCTTCCCCGTTGAACAAAGGACGATCGAACGGCGGCCATCGTGATTCCCGACGCAAGCAATTTGCCTTGTTACGAGCAGAAAGAAACATTGATAAGTGAAACTTTTACAAGAAATCGGACTTCAAAGAACAGGCTTGACCTGTAAAACATACAAAACACTCAATGCAGTGTTTTCCAATTTTGACAACCCTCAAACGCAACCAAGTTTTGAAAGAGTTCAATATAAATAGCTATTCGAAATAAAAAAAAAATTTTAATTTGTGTCGAATGTATTAAGAGTAGAATGTAAATGGGTTTGACTAAGTTTTGGGGCGATTCCTTCCAGGACCGATCCTTCTTTCTGGCCGCGATAGAGGCGCGAGGGCCAGGAACGCGATAAAGTGGAGTCGCGCGAAACTTGAACCGCCCGGGGCGACGTTTTCTCCCCCGGCAGGTTTCGCGTCCAGAGATTCTCTCGGTAGATGGTCGGGAATCAAGGTGAACCGCATCCTTCGACAAATCAGAAACCGGTCATACGTTACTCCGCGAGAAGAACAACCGAATAAAAAGAAAAAGAAAAATAATGGTAAAAAGCGAAGAAGCAGAGCGGACCAGAGTGTATAGAGGAACGCGAGAGAAGAACAAGCGGGAGGGGGGTTGAGAGCCAACGGGGGAAGGGAGAAAACTGCACACGGACACAGAGACACGCCATACACACATGCACGCGCGACGCGCAGAGTACACGAGACGATGAGAGAAACAGAAAAAAGTAAAACGAAAATTAAAAAAAAAAAAAAAAAAAATGTGAAAAAAAAAGAACATGCAATTCTACGATCACTGCCAAGGGCGTTAACCGTTGACGTCGATTTCTCATTGTCTGAATGTCGTAGTCGGTTTTTCTCCCCCTCGCGATTCAAGCCGACGAGTGCGAAATGCTACCGCAAAAAACGATTATATACAAAAGAAGACACTACCACGCGCGTCGCATACGACATAGGGATATTAAGAATAACGAAAAAAAAGAAAAAAAGAAGGGGAAAAAAAACGCAAAAAATATATTATATACACACACGTGCGCCCGCTCGATTTCGAATTGCCGTTTGACGAGGACGAGCGAGCGATTTGTTCATGATACTGCCAATGCGTAGACTCGAGTTTCTGTGTTTTTTAAGGAACAACTATAATACTCCTTTTAAATGTGTCGAGCCACACGTTGTACACGATCACACGCGCGCGCACACACACACAGACACGCCCATAAACGTGTACACACCACATTACACACACACACATGCTGATTATCTACCTATACGTACGCGCATCGTGCCGCAATCTCTCTTGTCTGTTTGTCCGCCCGGGTACCCTGATCTGTCCGTTTCTCCTAGGTGTCTCCTTCGCCTCTATGTACGTAAAATCACACTAGACGCAGATGTACGTGTAAATATTCGGGACCGGGTTACGCGATCACGGCGACGACTGATCCCCGGGTTCCCAATATTACGAAAAAAAAATAAGGATTCCGTTGGATGGAACCGACGACGGACGTTAAACGCCCCCGGGAGGTTGTTGAATCCTTCAGCAGCTTGCAGTCTGTTTCCAAGCAGGTCCTCCATCTTCGAACGAGTCAGAGGCGACCAAATCGTTCTGCCTAGGCAATAATTTCGAACAACGAATAGAAGATAAACCACTGTTTATCCGTTACTCGTTAAGTACGAATTATAGTTTCGAAAATATTTTACAACGAACGGAACTGCCCCCGAGCCAAAAAGACGCGTCCAAAAGTGCTCCTTTTATTTCTAATTCGCTGGAATAATCATTTATTTTCTTATTGGCAGGAAGTCCCACTTTTAAAGTGAAGAAACGGTGAATAGGACTTCCTGTGTTCGTTATAGAGTCGAAATTAATGCTATTTTTGTTCGATGCAAAGTGTCTCCGAAGTTGGCGTGTCGCGAGCGTGAAAAATGTCGGTCGTCGGTGACAACCGGACGGACAGCGCCGTTTTCCCCGAGCATTCTGCATACTTCTAACGAAAAATGTTGGATGTTCGAAGGTTTGGCACGACAGTCGACCACCGTGAACGCGAACCCGATATTTTCATTGTGCGCAGTAAACGAGAAGGGAAACGATTATTCGTTCCGCGTTCGTAATTAGTCGACAGACGGTCGAGAATACGGTATTTTCTTATTGGATGCAACGCCGGCCCTGCGATGAGCGAGAAAGAGAGAATGCGTGAGTGAGAGGAAGGTTCTTGTTATTAATCGCGAGATGGAGGAAGTCGTTTAATTTATTGGAAGCTGTAGAAAATGGAAAAAGAAAAAGAGGATACGAAGGAAAGCTTATAAGTTGAAGATTATTATAAATAAAGTTAAATGATTATACTTTGTTATAGTAGTTTATATGTTATTTTTCTGGGTTGTACACGAACGGAACGGTTATTTCATCTTTTGCTTTTTTCTCGTCCGCGTGTCGAAATTCTATATTGTACATAAATGTTTGTAACGAGAAAAACGTGGAGGAGCCCTGAGAATTTTCATCGTTAACGGAACGGCCGTCGGATTTTTCGCCACGGGACCGATGCCCACACATAGCTTTCTAACGATTTCGAGATCTACCGCGAAAGCGGGCCTTGTTTAGTGTTCTGCGACGAAATATTTCGTTAAAAATTTACGAGCAACGATACGAACGTTTCGTCAAAAAGGTATCACGCGAACAGTTTGTTATTTTCTGGACCTAGATAAAAAATTTTAGCCGCGGTTAGGACGCTTAGATCACCGGCGATAATTGAATCGGAAACCTGAAACCTTGGAAGCTTTTGATTCGCTAAATTTGTTGACGTTGTTCGTTAGATGCGAAATGTAAAATTGTTCGATAGGTAAAATAGCAATAAGTTACATCGGTACTCGACGATCGAGAAGTTTCGCAATTATTATAAATACTTTTTCCTCCCCCATTCGCTGAAACAGCTGTTTAGACAGATCGTTACCACCCTATAAACGAGCCAACAAAATTTTCGGGGCTGCCAATACCAACACACCAAAGTACTACAACGTTCGTGACTAAAAAACGTACAAAATTTTTAACGGATGAAACGTTGAATGTTGATTTATTATAACAACGTGTAAAATGTTAGAACTTAAACGTCGCTGCTAGGCATACGAATAAGTCTGAAGAAAACGATAAGAATATAACTAATAACTAACGAAACAAAACGCTGAGAATGGACGGGAAGAGAAGAGAGAAGTGGCGAAAAAAAAAAAAAACAGTAGGAGAGCGATGAAAAGCCAGAAATTTGCTATAAATATAGTACCGATAATCGTACAAATTTGTCCCCTCGGTTCTCGCGACCAGGAGAAGAAATGCGACCGTCGTTGTTTGTCATTTTTAGGACCTGCCCTCGTCGGATGTGCACCCGGTCGACTTACTACTACTACTACTGTTACTCCTATTATTACTATTACTGCTACTGTTACTGCTGCTATTACTACTACTAATACATAACACACACGTTTGTACTTGCAACACTGGGAACGCACGTACGCACACAGAAGACAGATACCCAATTTTAAAAAGAAAAAGACAAAAAAAAAGAATACTTACACACTGGTGTGAATCGTTTACACGCGTACACGCACGACGCTCGTTCGATCGGATGAGACGCACGGTGTAGTCGATGAACCACGACGCGACGGCTTGCAATTTTAATAGGAATTTCCCAGAGTTGGATTACTTTCATATTGCGCGTTCAAAATTTAACTACAACCAGGCGAAATTGATGAAATTGCGATCTACGGCGAGTTCCAATCGGAGCGAATAATAGATGTCTTCGATGTGTTGGAAATCGAAGTATTAGCGAATTAGCATCGTTAGTCGAATCTTAATCGATCAGGAACGTTATTTGATATCTAATTTATCTCTATTTGTTTTAAAAATTATAATTAATCACGACTATACCGGTTAAACTTATCCAATCGGTCACGAGACCGGTGTACATAGCGTACGCTTGTTCGAAGAACACGAAAAGCAAACCAAATGCGTCTTGTATCTTCTACTAGAATCTATATACATACTACTATACATATTAATTGTAAAATATTCGAAATTATTGTTAAACGAGAAGTCGGTGTGAAATTAGATGAGACGGGGCGTAGAATTTCGGCTCTTTTTTTAGGCGTAAGCGCGCGAATTCGATTTCTCATCGTGGTAAACAATTATGAATTTTTCGAATAAAATTGACGGCCGAGCGCAAAAGCCTCGGGCCCATTATTGGAAAGACGAACTTATAACGAATTGGTGCTTTGGAATGTATTAGACTGAATTATTGTTGTACGTTTTAAACGAAAAAAAAACGATAAAAAAAAGTAAAACGAACACGAGGAAATCGGGGGTAAACAAAAACCTGTGGGAGTTTTTGCTCCGCGTTTCGATTTAAAAAGAATTGGTAAAATATTATTTCTATTTGGAGCGTTTTATATATACAATATATTAATTATACTATATTCGCTAGGTTGCACACTTACACATACACATGTACACGTACACGTACACGGTATTTTGCGTACAGTGATGGGAATCAAATCGCCTTTGTGATCGGAAAGTCGTTTCTAAGAAAGTTATTTTAAGAAATTATCGATACATTCGTTGCAATTTCGATCGGTTCGTAATTAATTCGACGCTCGAGGACACTTTTATCATTATGAATCTTGTCCAAAACCAATTTAACGCTAGATTTAGTGTTTCCTTTTCTTTTAATCAGATTCAAGACAAATTGCTAATGTTTACGAGTTCCGTGACTGTGAATCTAATGTTGAAAAACTATACTTTGACTTCGAGCGGCCGATTTACTCCGAACCGACCGGAACGGGGCGAACGAGCGAGGGCCCCCGAGTGAAATTTTTGTCCGAAACATAATCAGAGGGGCGCCCCCGCGTCGATAAGCAAAATTAGAAATTCTGCGGTGACGCTTTGTGATTCTAGTAGATTTAGATTTGTTAGATTCGATTGTATTTCGAGAGTCAAAATTAAAATTCTTTAAGGGTATTCGTTGAAATCGATCCAAACCATTCGGTGGCGTTGTTTCTCTTTGTTGGCGATCGAGACGGTCTTGAATACTCGAATAAATTAACTAAGTCGGTGGTTCTCGTGTTTTTAGGGATCGTGAAAAACAAAATTTTTTAGCGGAACCACCGGTTTCACGCGAATTTCGCGAAGTTTTCTAAATTCGCAGCAGCGGGCGGTGGAGGAGAAGAAGGAGGAGGGTTAGGGGGGTGAACGAAAGGAAATTTTTTTCGAGGAGGGGAAAAAGTCGCGTTGCGATTCCCAACACTAAATTCACACGTGTGTATGCAAAACACAGACGCGAATTATTCAAAAAAAAAAAAATCGACAAACAAGATACTTTGTATGTACAACAATTAGCGGTTCTGTTTTTGAACGAAACTGAGAGTCTGAGAGTGTTGCGTGTGTGCGTGTGTGCGTGTGTGCGTGTGCGTGTGTGGGTTGCGTGGGCGAGTGAGAGAGAGAAAGACTCGGCGTGCACTCCGCCTGGAATGTGAGAGGGGAGGGGGGATTTGACAAAAAAGAAAAAAAAAAAATGAAAAATGGTGAAAACATAATAAGCGAGAAAACTTCGTCGCGCAGGTGCAAGGGAGATTTTTTGCAAATTGGCAATGCGGCGGTGCATTTCGACATAATTCGCCCGCGTGCGTTTAATAGAAGTTACATGACGTAGATATCCGTTAGGCACGCGCGAATAGCGCCCCCAGGTAGATATCGAGAAACTCCATTGGCGTGACTCGGGGGGAGATTGTTACCAAATTTGCGGAATTGAAAAATTCGTGGCCACCCTTTGCCACCGTTCGGATACCATAAATTTTCACGAATTGCTTAAATTACAAAAGCTCTGCGCACGATTCACGGAAAGTTTTGTACAAATTTGTACGTTTCGAGTAATTTAAATTGATTCCCGGCCGAATCGATTTTGCAATTCCGCGGCCTGTCGATCCTGAAGAGATCCCCAAGTTCCCCGATTAAAAACCACCCTGAAAAAAAAAAATAAACTAGCAGGAAAATAAAACGGGCTGTCGAAAGCTTGCTCGAAGTTTTGGGAAAGTTTTGGAGAGCCAATTCGTGTATTCCTGGTCCTTAAGAGGCTCCGAATTTTTGGGGATTCCGACGTATTCACGCGTGCCTGATAACTCACGTGTTCTCCGCAATGGGCATGCGAGGAGCCATATATACATCAACAATATTATATTCTAACGATTACTAATTAATAATGTACAATAATTTTAACGATTGCTGGACGATGAAGTCTTTAAGCATGTAACAGCGTTGCACGATGAAAGGGAGTAAGATGTGCGAGACGGTGTGAGAGAGTGTGAGAGTGTGAGACAGCGACGAAACGAATCCTGAATGTACAGTTAACAAACGAAGATAGAGAGCTAAAACCGGGCAGAAGCTACGAGATATGTATTTGTCTTTTAAAATCGATGTGTATTTTTTGCGGAGAAAACGAGGCGAGAAATATATTTGGGGAAAGGACGAAAACCGTTGTTGCCGGTATGTGTTTCACGGGGCTGACAACCTTTCTTCGCGAGTTCGCGAATTCGAGTCAGAGTTCATTGGTGGGACTCTATTGCGTTAGATTTCTCGGCGATCGGAAGAATTTTTAACGAACAGTGTGTTCGCGATAAAAAAATATATTTAGTCCGCCTTCTTGTTAGTTCGTTGGTATTCTTTTGTTGCTTGGAGTCTTTCGAAAAATTTTTTTGTGCAATCACGATTCTGGTTTCATTTTCTTTTCATTAAAAATTCTTTGAAACCGCATCCAAAGATTATAGTCGACGTTGTAAAAAAAAAATTCGATGAAATTCGCGTTGCAAAGAATTTCGATCCCTTCGAAACGTTAATCGTGAACGTTCTTCTTGTATCGTTTCTGAAGAATTTAATATCTCGACGAATTCTTTGATCCCCCTTGAAGAAATTTTGCTTCGGGGGGATTGGTTTTGCATATTATTTTGATACGAAAGGAAGAAAAAAAAACGATTCTCAAGCTCAATTTTCCATTTTATAATCCACCTTAGTATTGTGAATATAAATTTTTGTAAATTCGACGAATCGAAAATTGATTTTTTGAGTCCGTTTCGTTTTAAATGTAATCGATCGTGTTTCATTGAGTAAATGCAATACTGTGAACCATGATGAAACGAGGAAACTATCCCTCGCCCCTTTATTCTGTAGTTTTCGGGGAAATTTTACGACTCTTCCAGGGCGGTTGCAATCAATTTTCTCTCAGAATTAGAACGAGATCGAAAATTCGGAAATTATCGTGATCGAAGAAATGTCATAAAAGATTTCAAATTTTTCTATTCGTTTGTACGGAAACACTGAATATTATGTAAAATCGCCCTCGAAGGGGTCGAAGGCGATCGAACCCTGCTAACAAGTACAAGTAAAAATGAAAAAAAAAAAAACACATAAGTAACAAGAAACGAGGGTGTGTTAAATAATTTTCAATGTAAAGTGTACACCAGCAACGTCTAAGAAAAAAATCGTTAAAGAATTTATTTTCCTGAGAATCCAAGAGGCGTTCAAAGTTTATATTGATAACAACCAAACGAAAAAGAGTATTTATTTTTCTTACACAGTATTGCACGCCTTTTGATTAAGGGTTTGGAAGTAGGGGGAGGGGGGGGGGGGTTGGGGGTGTGGAGTGCGCAGACGCTAGGAAAACGACGAGCGACAAAAATTTCACCGAATGCCGAAATATGAGATAAGTTCGAGGGATAATAACGTTCGTGAAAACGAAATACAATATACTGGGGGGGTGCAGAAATATTATCTCCAAGGTCAACACTTATTTCCCCCCCCACCATCTTTAGCTTTTTTTGTCCGGTCGTGGCATCTCTCACGGTCTTTTGATCTCAATATTCCTCTTCTGATCGAGAGGCGGTAACTGACTTGGGGTTGGCCACGCCCATTCGGGAGAATTTCAGAGTTCGAGAGTATAGCGACCTTGAGGACGATGAATCTGCGCCCCCAAAATGTAATTACGTAGGGATAAGGGGACAGAGAACGCCGAACGCGCGAAAAGAAGCGAGAACGGAGAATACACGCAGAAGCGAAGAGTTCAAAGAGAGTTGCATTGTGTACATAATAACGCAGGGAAAAGGGAGCAGGGACGAAGAAATGAAAAGAATAAAAAAAAAAAAACATACCGTGAAATACAGAGGGTAACCGAACGACACCTTTGTAAATTAGCTTTGTACATTGTCCCTCCTGTTTACTTTTTGTCTTTATTTTTCGTTTATTGTTGCCGGATGGGCCCGGAGTGGAGGACTGCACGCGTTTGTTTATCGTTCGAAGCTTCGAGGGAAATTTATTGTTGCCAATCGACCGACACGTGGGCAGAGGAAACGATTTTGATCAAAATGATCGGAGAAATTTTTTTTTATTTGCTTTCAACCGTATTTGGGAAGCACGGGGCATTGGATATTTGGATTTCGTGATCTACGTTCTTTGTTTTTTTTTAATTGCTTGGAACAGTTAAAGTTTTGTGAACTGTTTGTAAATTGCTGGGCAATTCCAAAAGAAAAGAAAAGTGTGTTCCATTATTTACAGCGTACTTATCTGTAAAATAATTAACGAAACGAAATTTACAAATGTTGAGATAACGTTTTCACTATCGTCGATGTTTCCATCTTGAGGCTCTGTTATGTATATAAATAAATATACATATACGTGTATACATACATATATAAACATATATTTTTCTGGGATAAAAAGTAACTACAATGACGTATCCGACCTCGTGGACGCAATAAAAATTCATATAATCGATTATGCAATGGGCATCAGGGTGTAGCGTAATAGAGAGAGTGAGAGACATTATAAAGAGATGACTATTTTTTTTAAACAAAACACGATGGTGGAGCAAGGGACTGGAGCTTCTTTTTTTCGAAACATCCGATGAGAATTTGTTCGCGTCTTTGTTTCCCTTTTTTTTTTTCTTCTTTTCACTTGACGAGTTTACTTCGAATCACTCTGCCTACGCGTCGAACTACGTGTATGAAAGTTTTATTGTAAAAAGAAACCAATCTTCATGAATTATATACGAAATTGAATTTACAATTATTTATATTACATTAACGACATAGTAATAATTGTACGAACTATATATAATATTTATTACGCGTGAGTATAATTCATGAGAATTATATATAATAATACAACAAAATTTCTCTCATATTTTTCAATAATTGTGTCCCATGGAAGACAGTTTCGACAGGATCGCGAAATTTAATAAGCTTGAAAGGGAAACTGGTCGATTTTATTGTAAAAAGTAAAACCCAGCGAATGTAAATTAAAAAAAAAAAGACTATGATTTACATTTTACGAAAGCTCTTCGACCGTGGAAAATGGATCACACATTAATGAAAAAGAAAAAAAAAAGAAACGTTTTCAGTTCTCTTCCTGGGTCGATCGTTTCACGAAATAATTAAAAACTCACTCGCTGTATGTACATAGATCGGAGGACCGCTGGTAGCCATATTGTTATTCGTGATTAATAGGATGACTTTGTCGAGTCGACTGATGTCCTTTCTCTCCTTTCCTTTCTCTCGCTGAACGGAGATCGCATTTCGTATGCAAATTACGGATCATCCTCATTTTGTAAATTTTGCTTTATTTCCCCCCGTCGATTGTTAATTGTAATTGCATATTTCCCCGCTTGAAATAGAAATTGTTAGATTAAAACTTTCGTAAGGTTAGCTATAATTGTTATCAATTAATGATTTATCGACGATTATTTACCAACAGCGGTAACAGTTATGTTATTAACTAATTATTTTTTAAGAGTTCGTGTTTATTATTACGATTAAAGTAATTACTATCGATGTTATCATAGACGACTTTCTAACGAATTGTGCAGTATGTACAGACCTTTTAGTTAATTTATCATTTTCGTGTAAATGTTACAGGCGAATCGGCGCGTTACTGATTAAGATATTTTGCAATGAAGTACGCAGAGCGGAAGCGAAAGAAAGAGAGAAAGGGAGACCCCTCTGTCTGTTGTATATTATTTTTATTTCCACCTTTTTTACAAATAAAACAAAAGCGAGACCGGTATTGACCGTGCTATGTATGGATGATATGTTCCAATACTAGAATAAATCTTTCAACAAATACTCGATTACTGGTAAGGTTTTTATCTTGTCATTTTACTATCCAATGTGTGACCAAAAATGTTTCCCCGAAAATGTACGTATCTAAATTTTTAAAAAATTTCAAATCGTTCTGAAAAAATTATTTTCGGTTACTGGGGTCAATTACAACTATTTTTGGTGAACAGACATACCCCCGAAATCCTACCCATTTTTGAGAAAAAAATTCGAGTAGGTGCTTTTTGTCGGCGAAATTAAAAGATTTCGAATCATTCTGAAAAAAATATTTTTAGTTGCGGGGGTCAAATACAATCATTTTTGGTGAATAGACATACCTCTGAATTTCTACGCATTTTCGAGAAAAAAATTCCTTATCGAAAATATAACGTTTCCCAGAAATGGGTATATGTATTGCTTTGATCGATGAATTATTAACTTTACTACATTAATTTACATATGTTTGCATTAACATCACTAAGTATACACCCCTGGAAACATTCGTGGACCAATTTTGCAACGATTCTTATTTCAATTAATTAATTATATGCTATTTCTCGACAAACTTGGACATTCTGCCGTAGATGGAGCCACAATATATATTTTTGTGGCGACAGCGGCGCTCTACATTACCGACTATAGGGTAGAATTTAGGGTTTCGAATGTTAGAAGAGTTTGTTTATTGCTAGGATACATTTTAACGGTGATTGTTTAAACATCGAGTCAGTTTAATAAAAGCTTCTCGAGACACAAGTTGAACTCTCCCATATTCTTTATCCGCGCTTATAAATAAGCAGAACGACTAAATTCTTCTGCCATTGTAATAAATCATTATTTTTAATGAATCACTGCTTAATAATTTACTAATTAATCTTAATTACGTCTAACCTAGAAATATTTTTCAATCGTACATGGTTCGATCTAGTTTCGAAGTCAACAAACTATTTCATATAGTCGTGCATTTATTATAAATATAAGCTTTAGACTATGTCTGTTAAATAGACTGTTGTATACAATCTCAAATTAATCTATATTTGAAGATTTATAAGACGATCTTTGTGTTCAAAATAGTTTAATATTAAAATGTTTATAGTTTTGTATTACTACAAGAAGGTTTATCTCGTACAATTTATTTTTTTGAAATTGCCTATCAATTGCCAAGAGAAAATCAGTAAGTAAATTTTCAGGTTTTGAACGTCTGATTTCTTCAATTCAGATTCATTAAATAATAAAAGTAGTTTGTGATTTGAGGCTGTGTAGTCATGTTTGAAAGAAATAAGAGTAATCTGCAGTGCCCCACTAACCTTTAACAGCTATGTACATATATTTGTACGAAGCGATATCTTCGTTGGTTGACAACATAGGCAGTTAGCTGATGATTTATTAACCATTATTTTACTATTTTGCAAGGATTTCAAGGAACCGAGAACGAAGCAGCGTATTGATACGCGTTATCACGTATCCTCGCGATGCCTTCGACGTCCTCACGCGTTACAGAACCGATTAGACTCGTTGCAAATCACTTCCGAGAAAAACGATTGTCCTGTACAGTATGCAACGCTTGCATAACTCTCACGCGCGCGTCTGACTCATTGGCGATTAAAATAAAAATCATTTCAGCCGTAGAAACAAGAAATACCAGATAAAAAATATCCTCCGTCGATGTATCGATTTTCCATTTGCGACACTTCGGTCTGTTAACATTCCTACAGTCATAAATTATTGCGTAATACGAAATAATGAATTGCGTTCGAAGTGCAGAATGTTCGGAATGCAAAAAAGAGAATCTATTCATGTTTGAATTTTTCTACGATAGAACACATTGTTGAGTCTATTTTATAATGCAACGTTTACAATCGACGTCGAGACGAGTTCAACGGCACGTGGCACCATAGTCTTGCATTTGTAAAATTTAAAAGAGGTTTCTCTTTGCAAGAATACGATTAAAAACGAAAAAAAGAAAGGAGAAACAAAGGAAGAGAGTCGTTCGTTTTGCTCAACTTCCCGGACGCTGTTCCCACGTAAATTAGCAAGTACGCGAGCGTACTCGTGACAAGGTAATTGGGAATGATTGTGAGATACGTCGAGACGATGAGATCATGCATCTTGTCTGCTGATCTAGGTCATATTCGATGAGCACGAAGTCGGATTATCGTATTCACGTCCGCGCGATCGGCTACAAAATAAACCTTGGAATACGTACGTGGCTTGTCTCTCGTAAAATCCGCGTTTGCCGTCTCGGTTGTTATTGAAAACGACAGAGTCGAGGCATTGTTATCGGCCAATACTCAATCTCCCGTCATCGACTTCCTCTTGGAGATATTTTTTGCCAACTTTCATGGTCATCGACACCGGTTTTGTAGAAATAGGGCACTGGTGGCCTCTCATAGTCGTCAGCAGGGGGCTATGCTCTCTCGTAAGCGCTCGATCGACCCTCCTATTCTTATACAGGATGTTCAGCCACCCTTGGGAACCATTTTAATCGGAGATTCTACAGGCCAAAATAAGACGAAAATCTAGAATATCAATTTGTTGATTGAAGTAATTTCGGACCGCCTCGTGGGGAGTCGAGAGAGGAAGGCTCACATTTGCCTTCTCGCTCTTGGACAACTGAAATTTGACCTCGCGTCGACGGCATACGATTCCAAGCCTCGACTGGCCAGGTATTTTTTACTTTCCGACCTATGTATGTAGACGAACATAAACAAGGTATTATAATGAAAAGAATTCTGTGAAATTTTTCTTACGGAAATACACGTTTTAAGACCTCCCGATCATATTTGAATTGTTGAAAAAAAATTAATTCATTTTTATTATTCCTATGTATGAGCGTACATATGTATATCATTTCAGATATCACATCTGCTACATCTGGCAACGAGTAACCATTACTGCTGGCTACTGCCAGCCTCTCACAACCTCTGCTGGCTTCTGCTGGCCTCTGCTGACCCCAGCTGACCACTGCTGACCACACCTGATACTTCCGACAACGTATAACGATTACTACTAGTAACTGCCAGCCTCTCCCAGCCTCTGTTGGCCTCTCCTGACCTCCGCTTATATTTCTGACAACGCATAACGATTATTACTGACTTCTGCCAACCTCCGTTGGCCTCTGCTGACCATTGCTGATCTCTACATGCCTTTACTGGTGGCTAACTTGAGTTAGCAGGTAATGTCATAAAATTGTTTTATCTAGTTACACCCCTTTTTACCTCAAGTATAAGGTACGACTAAATGTACTTTTGAATTTTCCTACAGTCCTCCGCTAGCCTCTGCTGACCGCTGCTGACCACTTCTGATACTTCTGACAACGTATAACGATTACTACGGTCTACTGCCAACGTCTTCCGGCCTCTACGGGCTTCTGCTGGCCTCTGCTGACCACCGCTTATATGTCTGTCAGCGTATAACGATTACTAATGACTTCTGCCAACCATCGCTGGCCTCTACTGGCTGCTGCTGACCTTTCCTGGTATTTCTGACAACGTATAACGATTACGACTGGCTACTGCTAACCTCTCCCAGCCTCTGCTGGCCTCTCCTGACCTCTGCTTATATTTCTGACGACGTATAACGATTACAACTTGCCACTGCTTGCCCCTGCTGGTCTCTGCTTGCCACTCCTTGCCACTGCTGGCATTCGCTGGCCTCTGCTGGCCTCTGCTGACCATTGCAGACCACCACCGATGCTTCCGACAACGTGTGACGATTACTACATGTTACTGCTTGCCCCTGCTGGTCTCTGCTTGCCTCTGCAAGTCTCTGCTGTCCCCTGCTGTCCCCTGCTGACCACTGCTGACCACTGCTGACCTTTGTTATCAACTTCTGACATGATGTATAAGTATTCAAGACTTGTATAATGTAATTCTATGGCAATAAATGATATAATTTAACAGAATTCTATGTGTTCTCATCATTTTTACCTTTCTTTTCCTCTCCAAATCATTGCCTTAGTTTTAAGGGACCGTTTTTCCAGTTAAAATTGGATTCCCAAAGTGTCCAGCTCTTGTACTTGCTGCCAAAATCAAAAACTAACTTTTAAATTTTATTTCTGTAATCGTCACTCTCGTACCTGTTGGCAAAATCGAGAATTCATTTTTTTCGTCAAAAAGTCCTGAAACAACTGGAAAGTCCTGAAACAGCTGGAAAGTCTCGAAACAACTGGAAAGCCCTGAAACAGCTGAACCCCCCTGGAACCCCGAAAAATCCCTGGAACAACGAAAAAGCCCTGAAACAGCTTGAAAGCCCTGAAACAGCTGGAAAGCCCTGAAACAACTGGGAACTCTTGGAATTTCTTGGAAACGCCGAAAATTCTTGGAAACCCTGAATTTTTAGCAAAGTTCTGAGTTTCAGGACTTCCGAGGTGTTTCAGGACTTCCTAGTGGGTTCAGGGAAACCAAGGAGTTTCAGGGAGTCTTATAACTAAGGTAATGGTTTGGAGAGGAGAAGAAAGGTAAAAAATGATGAGAACACATAGAATTCTTTGTAATTATATCATTTATTGCCATAGATTTACATTATACAATGTTCTAATACATATATATCATGGCAGAAGTTGTTAACAAGAGTCAGCAGTGGTCAGCAGTGGTCAGCAGGGGTCAGCAGGGGTCATCAGGGGACAGCAGGGGACAGCAGAGGCTTGCAGAGACAACCAGAGACCAGCAGGGGCAAGCAGTAACATGTAGTAATCGTCACACGTTGTCGGAAGCATCGGTGGTGGTCAGCAGTGGTCAGCAGAGGCCAGCGGAGGTCAGCAGAGGCCAGCAGAGGCTGGGAGAGGTTAGCAGTAGCCAGTCGTAATCGTTATACGTTGTCAGAAGTAACAGGAGTGGTCAGCAGCAGCCAGTAGAGACCAGCGGAGGCAGGCAGAAGTCATTAGTAATCGTTATACGCTGACAGACATATAAGCGGTGGTCAGCAGAGGCCAGCAGAAGCCCGTAGAGGCCGGGAGACGTTGGCAGTACCCCATAGTAATCGTTATACATTGTCAGAAGTATCAGAAGTGGTCAGCAGCGGTCAGCAGAGGCTAGCGGAGGACTGTAGGAAAATTCAAAAGTACATTTAGTCGTACCTTATACTTCAGGTAAAAAGGGGTGTAACTAGATAAAACAATTTTATGTCATTACCTGCTAACTCAAGTTAGCCACCAGTAAAGGCATGTAGAGATCAGCAATGGTCAGCAGAGGCCAACGGAGGTTGGCAGAAGTCAGTAATAATCGTTATGCGTTGTCAGAAATATAAGCGGAGGTCAGGAGAGGCCAACAGAGGCTGGGAGAGGCTGGCAGTTACTAGTAGTAATCGTTATACGTTGTCGGAAGTATCAGGTGTGGTCAGCAGTGGTCAGCTGGGGCCAGCAGAGGCCAGCAGAAGCCAGCAGAGGCTGTGAGAGGCTGGCAGTAGCCAGCAGTAATGGTTATTCGTTGCCAGATGTATCAGAAGTGATATCTGAAATTATATACATATGTACGCTCATATATAGGAATAATAAAAATGAATTTATTTTTTTTCAATAATTCAAATATGATCGGGGGGTCTTAAAACGGTGTATTTCCGTAAGAAAAATTTCACAAAATTTTTTTCATTATAGTATCTTGCTTATGTTCGTCTACATACATAGGTCGGAAAATAAAAAATACTTTCCTTTTTACTATCCTCGTACGATTCTCTCGAGTTCCTACCCCGCAGCAAAGCAGTGCCAAACTTTATCGATAAAGTTCGTTAGCAGGACACCGGAAACTTCCTTCCTTTCATTCTGCGTACAGCAAGTTTCCTTCGGTACTCTATTACCATATTGTTGTTCCTTGAGAACCTTGACCTTCGGGAAGACTTTGAATCGCAACGGGAAGGAAACCAGAAAATTTGAATAAAACATTCCCATCCGCTCGGGCTTTTTGCAGTCGATAAAAAAAAGTCACGTGCCCGTCGAGTCGCGTAGCAGTGCTAAGAACAAACGGATCGCTACGTGGACGTGTTTTGTAATGTTTATCGAACGAAAGAGAAGTTAGCTGGAAACTCTGGGAGTCACAGCCCGAGGTCTGGTTGTTAACGCGATAACCCTAACGAGAGGTTGAGCGATTTCACACTGCGCTCGAGTATCGTTAAATTAATGTAGAATTAATCGTATTTCAGATAACGTGTTACGAGCGGAATAATATACAAGATAATACAGTAAACAAGGCGTATAAGCACGATGCAAACTGCGTTCTTGGGTCTCCGCGATCGAGATTTTCCTCGAACGGAAGTCAAGAAATATCGCTGGAAACGTTGTGAAGTCTGAGATCGATCGATCGTTGGGCATCGATAGCGAACGAACCAGGGTCGATTCAGATTTCTCGAAGCCCAGGAGATGCTTTTGCAAAAGGAATTGAAGATAAAAAATGTTTACAAATTCCTGCTACGTCGAATCGTGAATCGAGAATGTTCCAAAGAGATTATCCAACCTTTTATTGCATAAAGCAGAGCACTCGAAATAGAGACTTTACCGGAGTATTGTAATTGACTGTGTATCGAATTAGAAATTTACATTTCAACGAGCGACGGACAAACGTTTATCTCGTGCTCGTTGTTTGAAATTTGTATCGTACGATACGGAAGTTAGGATGACTCAGGACGACACAATGCGTGTAACCATAACTCGGTGTTCGTGACTAAGAGACCACAGATAGAGTGGGTAAATTATTGACAGTTCGTCGACCGTCTAATAGAACTATGTACATCTCGATTAACAGATCCCAACGCGAGATTTCTAATATGCAATTGCAATGCGCTGTTATTTAAAAAAAAAAAGAAAAAAATTGTAAAATGAATTCTCATACTACAATGCAAGACAGAAGAATAATATCCAGAGCGGTAATATCCATTACCGCCATAGTACTACCTTTATTCTTTCACGTTCCTTTTGTAATTCGAGACACGTAACTTTAACTGCACGTAAAATTTACGTAAAATTAAATTAACTTGTTGTTAAGTCTAGCCATTTTTAGGGAATATCGTGGGGTTTCACAAAGTGTCGCGAACCAGATGTAATGATTAACGTGTGACAGGATGACGATCGCAGAAGAAATTGCTTATTCGTCGGTGAGTGTTATCGATCACGTGTCCGAGTTGATCACGACCAATTTTTCAATCTGGCTTCCAAGAAACATTTGGGGACCCCTGGCCTTGATTTCTCGGATCTCCTTGTCAACAAGACACGACGTGTGTTCGCGAATAGTCGGAGAAACTGTTTCTCGGAGATCGTTACGGTGACGTAAGATCTACGAGCCCCACTACCTCCGTAAAGATCGCGCCAAGGTATCAAAGTCCCTGACGAAGAAATTGTTCCAGGCAGTTTGCTTCTTGCTTTCGTAAAGGTAAGACTCTGTTTCATCGACTCGTTTTACTAGTTTCGTTCGGCCATTAAGCAGCGGTGAACATACTCTCGGTGCAAAAATAATTTTCATACGTAACCTCGTTCCGTTTCACCACCGTACAGTGAATCTTGCATCGCGGTTTGTATCAATTTATAGAATATTGTCCTTTGAATCGAGTTATTAGGGAATGATCAATTCGGTCGTCTGATATGCAAAGAAGTCGAAAGAATTCGAAAGTGCTGTGAATATTAAACCGATTTCACGTATTGTTTTTCAGAGCCAGTCAGCGAATATGAAAGTGTTAATTTTCGCCGCGTTCGCGGCTTTGTGTGCCCAATCGGTGCTCAGCGTCGACCCACACGAACACAACAAGGTCGTGTGCTACTGGAACAGCACGGCCTTCGAGCGACAAGGTAATATTTTCGAATAAATTCTGGTGAAATTTCAATTTCGAAACGATGAATCTTTCATCGTCGATTCGTCGTGAATGTTAAGAAGGCTGGTTCCAAGAAGAACTTCTTTTCAAATTCGTTTGGCTGCCCGGATTTTAGGCCCTGGAAAATTCCAATTGGACGATGTCCGTCCAGCGTTGTCCCTTTGCACTCACCTGGTCTACGGATTCGCGGGCATCTCCCCCGAAAATTTCGAGGTTCTTTCTTTGAATCCTAATCTCGACACTGGGGCTGGATACGCTTACTACAGGCTCGTCACACAATTGAGGAGAGACTATCCAGATCTGAAGGTCTATCTTGGCATCGGTGGCAATGCTGATCCTGTGGAGGACACCCACAAGTACCTGGCCGTTGTGAGTAATCCTCGCATATTCGTCGATTTTTCATCAATTTTAAACTACTTAATCTATCTGCGCCGACAAGGGGACCTTACAGTCGTGGACATTGCTTTTGAAACTATTTTATCACCAAACCCTGATAGGGTTATTCACAATGGGTCTTCGTTTTCGAGATACTTTGATGTAAAGTTTGGTGTACACGTAAGAAAGGATTATTTAAACTTATTTTGGTTAAGATGGCAGAGCTTTTGGTACTGGGTTCGAATATTCGTCGATGTAATATTTTTTTATAAATTTTAAACAACTTCTCAAACTATATTCACTAAAAAGGGACCTTACAGTCGTGGACATTGCTTTTGAAACGACAGCAGATGCAAGTTATAGTATACAGGGTGTTAGGCCACCTCTGGGAAAAATTTTAATCGAAGATTCTAGAGAATACTAATTTTTTTATGGAGACTTCGTTAAAAATTTATTAACGTTTAAAGTTCCGTCGTACTGAATTTTTTTCTCGAAAATGCGCAGGATTTCGGGGGTATGTCTATTCGCCAAAAATGATTGTAATTGACCCCCACAACTGAAAATAATTTTTCCAGAACGATTTGAAATTTTTCAATTTTGTCGAAAAATTTCCCACCTTCTAGAATTTTTTTCTCGAAAATGCGCAGGATTTCAAGGGTATGTCTATTCGCCAAAAATGATTGTAATTGACCCCTGCAACCGAAAATAATTTTTCCAGAACAATCTGAAATTTTTTAATTTTGTGGAAAAAAGCCCCTGTCGATTATTCTTATAAATTCGTTTTTGATTTTTAGTAATTTTGTTTGACGTCCTACAGAAAAGTTGTCTACTACTTTTTTACAGGTATCCATGAACTCTACTTCCCCCCAAAATTTCAATGAAATATATTCACTATTACAGGAGTTATGGCTGTTTGAATATTGGACCATTTTTATGGGGTTTTTCTAACTTTACGGGGTCAAGGCACAACTGTTTCAATATTGTTAGAATTTCTAAATATTCTCCACTAAAATACGCGTTGTTTGCCGTTTGAAACATTAAAATTCTTCAATCCGTTCAGAAGTTATGACATTTTAAAGATACACATGAAATTTCAGGGTAGCATTTTTGGCTCCACATTAGATTTTAGGTAGGGAATTTTTTTCTCGAAAATGCATAGAATTTCGGGGGCATGTGTAACTACCAAAAATGATTGTAATCGACCCCTGCAACCAAAAATAATTTTTTCAGAATGATTTGAAATTTTTTAATAACTTTTTAAGGAAGCCTCAGTGAAGAAATTGATATTCTTGATTTTCGCCTTATTTTGGCCTCTAGAATCTTTCATTAAAATTTTTCTCAGGGGTCGAACACCCTGTATACGTAGTATCAAAAAACCCTGATAGGTTTCTTCACAATGGGTCTTCGTTTTCGTGATATTTTGATTTAAAATTTGATATGCGAGAAAAGAATTATTTAAATTTACTTTACAGAATTAGTTTTGGGTAGGATGATGACTAACTATGATAATGAACTACGAAACTTTTGGTCTGGGTTGGAATCCCCGTCGAGTTAATAATTTTTTTAAAGCAAACAGTCCTTAAATTTTGAATACAAAAAATAGTAGCAAGTACAGTAGTAAAATAGCGCATTTATGTCATAATCATTATCGAATATATTCTGTATTAGTAAATTCTTGTACTTCGATTATTCGTTCGATGTGCTTTCATGTTGTTTGTTCGAATCTCCCGCAGACCGAGACGTCGGAATCGAGGTCGAAGTTCATCAACTCCGTGAACAGGATGTTGAAAGACTACGACTTCGACGGGATCGATCTTGCCTGGCAGTTTCCGGAAGTGAAAGTGAAGAAGCAACGCAGCACGTTGGGCTCGTTCTGGCACGGCGTGAAGAAGACCTTCGGCTATGGAAAATTCAAAGATGACAAGGAACAGGAGCACCGTGACGGTTTCACCATCATGGTCCGCGACCTGAAGGCCCAACTGAGGCCCAAACTGAAGGCCCTGACGGTCACGGTTCTGCCCCACGTGAACAGCAGCAGTCAGTACCTTTATCGATTGCATTATGTTCCACGATAGCTTCATATCTAAGAAAGCAATAAGTATTTTTGAAAAATTCAAAAACAGGCGATTGCGTCGTACTATTATACGTGTAGTTTAAATCCTAAATTCAACGGTCTTCTTAAACATACTTGTGGATTATTCTCTCACGTGTCCAGTTGCCAAGGCCTCTATTAAATAATCAGGAAAGTTATGAACGCTGCTAGGCTCGTCTCTAAATAATCGTCGTCGTTGTTACCAGTCATTAACATCAATTTTCTCGCTCCTGCTGATGAAAAGTGTTGCGGGAATAACACTTCTTAACGACGCCTCGAAGTTCGTTGGTTAACACTTGGCAGAATTGTTAAATATTCTGCAGGATATAGTCGACAATTTATTACTCAGGCTATCTATGAATACTCTTATAATTTTGAGCTGTGTACTAACACGAATTTTAAAGATTTTAAAGAGTTATTTTAAAAGTGGCGAAACTCTTGTTTACGTGTTACGACACGTTGGTAATCATCGTCAAGTTCCCTAAATATTGAACGTTACGTGCAATATAGTCCCTGAAACGAGGTGTTTTAATATAAACAAAATCGTTAATACGAATTGCATTTAAAATTCAAGCACTGGATACGATATTTCTGTGTTTCGTCCTAGATTTTCCCGAAGTATGATTCATTGAATCAGTATTCAAATTACGAGAAATGGAATTGTAAATCTTACAGGTGGTGACTTTGTTGCTTTTTTTAGTTTACTACGACGCGAGACTGTTGGCGCCCAACATCGACGCCGTCCATCTATTCACGTTCGATCAGAAAACACCGATTCGCAATCCCCAGGAGGCCGACTACCCGGCGCCGATTTACGAAAGCTTCGGACGCGTTCTCGACGACAATGTTGACAGGACAACCAGGTGATTATTACTTATTCCCATAGACATCAGACTAGACTGCATAAACCACTGCTAAAGTCACTCTAAAATTTTCGATTTTTATATGTTACTGTTGAAATAATGAAAAGCGATCTGTACCATATTTGAAATTGTGTAGAAACGATATTCTGCCAAAAAACGGAAAGTATTCTCAAAAGTTTGCATTTTTCCGGAAACCACTGTGATGGCTGAAAATAAAATATTAAAAACATTAACTATTATAGTTATAATTGGAACCAGCGTGAGAGTGGAACAAGAAATCATGCACTTTTCTTAAACTATAAGACAGTAGCTTTATGGTTGCACAGTGGTTTCCACCCTCAAACTTCCACTGACGAAATATCGACAGAAAACGACATTCGAATGGTTCTATAATTACGAATCAGTTTTCTGTAGTTCATTTCTTTAGAATAAATATTATTCAACTGTTTCTAAGGACACATAAATTGTTAACGTGATCTCAAATATGGTATACTCCGTTTCTGCAAATTTCAACAAGAATATACATATATGTTACCGTGAATGACCGAAATTGGAGAATGTCAACTTTCACCGGTGAATGTCAACAGATACCAAATACGTCGGTGAAAGATCGAATATTTCATTACATTGTTGTACATTCGGACCCTCTCCGGTGTGTGTCGACAATCACAGATATGCTCTGCTGGAGGTCCAAAACAGAAGAGTCAAAAAACAAGCGACTGGCTCTCTCCTGCCAAATCCTTTGTTCTGCTCGGAGTCAATCAGCTTTGTCAGTCTTATGCAAGCTTTGATAACGCGAGCAACGTTTTCTTAATTTTTTTTCCGATACCCTAATTTATACTAAATGGATACTGCAGTAAATCGTGACCTTTTTCTAACCCAGATCTAACCCAGACCTAACCCAGACTTAATTCAGACTTATTCCAGACCTAACCCAGACCTAACCCAGACCTAACCCAGATCTAATCCAGACCTAACCCAGACCTAACTCAAATCTAATCCAGACCTAACCCAGACCTAACCCAGACCTAACCCAGACCTAACTCAGATCTAATCCAGACCTAACCCAGACCTAACTCAGATCTAATCCAGACCTAACCCAGACCTAACCCAAATCTAGGGTCTGGGTCAGGTCTGGGTTAGGTCTGGATTAGATTTCGGTTAGGTCTGGGTTAGGTCTGGATTAGATTTCGGTTAGGTCTGGGTTAGGTCTGGATTAGATTTCGGTTAGGTCTGGGTTAGGTCTCGGTTAGGTCTGGGTTAGGTCTGGGTTAGATCTGGATTAGATCTCGGTTAGATCTGGGTTAGATCTGGGTTAGGTCTGGGTTAGGTCTGGGTTAGGTCTGGGTTAGGTCTGGGTTAGATCCTTTCAGAAAGAGAGGCGAAAAAGTTACGTCACCCTTGTGACGTTTTATAGCGACTGAATTACGGAGAAGAAAATATAAATCTCCAACATGTTCAACACTCACCATTAGTGCATGGTGAATGTCAACATTTACCGGTGTAAGTCAGAAATAAGGGTGTTTAGCAAATATTTCGGACATACACTAAGCGACTATGTGAATGTTGACATTCACCGGTGAAAGTCGACATTCTCCAGATTTCGGTGTTTCACTGTAACATATACACAAGATCGTGGGGTCCATCGCCTCCAGTACTCGCCACCAGAGGGCCACGCTCTTGTCTTTCTCGCAAGGGCTCTCCTTTCCTTTTCCGATCTCATCAACAGGACCCCACAAGATTGAAAATTTTAGGGTGTAACTCGAAGCACAACTCGTGGAAGCCCCAAATTACATTTAAAAATGTCGATTCCCGTAAGACGAACCAAAAATATCCGCGAAGTATGGATTCTTCCTCCAGGTATTGGCTCGAGAACGGTACCCCGAGCTCCAAAATCGTGGTGGGCATCCCGACGTTCGCCAGGACCTGGAAATTGACGTCGGATAGCCAAATATCAGGCGTGCCACCCATCGTCACCGACGGTCCAGGTGCCGAGGGGCCCCACACCAACATTCCAGGCGTACTCTCCTACACGGAGGTGTGCAGCAGATTGACGGAGAGCGCGGTTGGTCGCCTGAGACGCGTTGGGGACCCATCGAAGAAGTATGGAAGCTACGCTTTCCAGCCGTACGACGAGGCCAGCGGCGCTGATGGCATCTGGGTCGGATACGAGGACCCAGACACGGCTGGAAACAAGGCCGCGTACGCCAAAGCGAAGGGTCTGGGCGGCATAGCCATTTTCGACTTGTCCCTGGACGATTTCCGCGGCATCTGCACCGGGGACAAATTCCCCATCATCAGAGGCGCCAAATACAAGTTGTAAAAATCGCGACGCTCTTCCAGAAAAATTTCCAAGTTCCCCGGAATGATTTTAAATCTCCCGCCGCTTCTTAATTCGCGGCTACCAGAATAGAGAGGAAGGAAAGAGGGGATTGTTAACAATTTTTTTTTTAATTTTTCGAACAAATTCCGCCGGGGGTTGTGCCATCTCTTGCAGTGACGTTATTTCCAAGAATTTCTGCGAATGGTCTCCGTCTGGATTCCTAGTGTTCCTCCTTTTCCTTTTACAAAACTTTCGAATTTGTTCTCGAAAGTAATCTTTACAATTGTTCGACACTTTTTTATATTCCCAAGACGTATGTATTAGCAGAAAACCCAAAACAGAGCACGTAAAATAGATATTATACTTTTCGAAACTGGTCTTTTGTGATTATTCCCCACTCCTCGAGAAATTCTGAAATTTTCAGGAAAGTGATCGGAGACGTTGTCGTATGTATAGGTAATATATTTTCGTGCAGTCTATGAATTCGGTTAAACACATTTGCTCGGGCGTGTACGAAAGGTTTTCTTGTAAATAGACTAAACTCGGTAAATATATCAAACGTTAGGAGTTATGGCACACGAGACATAGCTTTAGCCGCAGCCACTCTCATACATAGACACAAAAACTTTTTTTTTTTTCTGAAATCTTCTTGTACGATCGATTCGGTTCCGCGATTTCGTTGATCGAGGGCGTCCCGTCGTTCGCCTCGATCGAATCCTCGCGGCGTTTCGATTGATTACCCAAACGTTTGTGCATGTTGGTTCGGTGCACGCGGTGTTGTTGAATTTTTATCCACTTTGTTCCGTCATTCGGGACTGCTGTTTCACACGGACCACTCGTAAATTATCGCAAAACGAGAGTTTGGTTCCGAAAACCAGAAGCAAAGGGGTCTCGATGGACTAATCGCAAAGGTTCGGGGTCCATGATCGATGGGATGAACGTAAGTATCAAACATTGAACGCAGTTCGAGTATACTTCCACCGACGAATACCAACAAACATATATTTCGACGGTTGCGTCGCTTTTACAATGAGAAAGCAACGATTACGGGTTGTATAGTTTTTAGCAAAACAGCAGACCAGAAACGGCCGTAACAACACGAACGCAACTTGCTAATTATAATACTTAGAAAATACTGGGCATGGTAGTTGGAATAGCTTACACACTATAGTACAGTTAATAATTCGATATACACTTCAACAGGGGTAGGGCACTCGTTACATTACGGCATACGATATAATGAAATATAATATGTGTAGCGTTACAACGTACAATAACACATTAGTTATCCCTGATTAATCCTAATCTACTCTGATTCTCGATCGTCGCGAATCGTTGGCGCGAACTCGTTCGCGAACCTCAGAAAAGACTATATTTATACAATTTTAAGGCTACAAAGTTTTCCTTTTTTTAATAATATCGACTTCCTAACTTCGAGGAAAGCTCTATCTACAAAGGAATATAACGATCGTAGTACGATGGACGAAAGCAGAAAATATGTACAAAAAGGGAAAGGAGAAGTTGCAATGTTAAAGAAGGCTTTGGTGTGTATTTAAACAAATGAAAAGCGTCTATAGCTGATATTCGCGAACGAGTTTGGCTCGGTCGAGGTAAATCCGAAGGATTCTAAGCAGGAACAGGACACGCTCGGCGAGATTACGTTGTTTGAAAGCATATCGGTCGACTATTCGTAGCAGTCGCGTGACGTCTGGAGTCGGACAGTGAAAAAATAAGTACGCGGAGATCTCAGACGTGACTTTCTTCTACGTGGAACGTTCCCTCGAGTGCTTCCAGGTGCTTCGAAATCGTTCGACATGGAAATGCAACGTGCGTGTCACCGGTAGAACCTACAGTTTGGACTCGTCCCCGATTTCCTGATACTTCGTAATTACGCGTTCAGGAAGAAATGTCTGGACGATGTGTTCGATCCGCGACATTCTAGCTAACAAAAGGAGGAAGAGTTTCAGTGGACCCCTTTCTTCTTCTTACGTCTCAAACTATATACCGGGGACCAGCTTCCAGTGTCTCCAATCTATCGTTATTTAGAAACTCTCGATAACGAATGTCCACTTTATGGAAATGGCGAATGAAAATAATTTTTTTTTTTCCACAAACGTACATAGTACCGTTTACTTTATTGAAAGGTGGGGGGGTCTTTGAAAACGTCTACGAAGCTGATCCCCACTGTACAATACGACGTACTGATGCGACATTTAGGTACTCGTTACATTTAGTTCTCCCTTGCTTCGAGGGCACTGGAATGAAAAATCATCAACGTTTCTATATTTCTCAGGTTCAACGATACGTTTGGACAGCGTTCGCGAAGTAGTGCGACGTGTCGAAGCGAGGATCTCAGTGTTTTCGTTGATTTCGAACACACTTTTGCGGTGCACCACGGCCAAAACTATATAAAATTTCCAATTCGAACTCGCGTCACACGTCTTCGCGAACGCTCGCTCGTAAATGCATATCAAGTAAATGCGAATCGCGCAATTGGTCAACTTTCAGATAAAATATCGCGTTATTAAATACAAACGACGATCGAAAGTGGAATCGGTGCGAGCGAAGAGAAACTATAGGAAAGCAATGACTCTGTTACGATGGTTTAATCATTTTTTATGTTGCCCGCGGCACAGTCGACTTTCGATCGTCGGTAACATTTATCCAGTATAACTTCTTTCGAAACGTACGCTAAAAATAGTCGCGTAACGTGTTGCGCGTCTTTTACAAATTTCGTATTCGTTTCGTACAACCAAATGATCAAAGAGTTCGTCATACGGAACGCAAAGTGTTTTCAGAGCGTTTTGTGCAATCGGGGGATCGAATAGTAAATCATACGAGTACACGGTAGTTGAAAGTTCACCCTTTGGGGACGGAATTAGTTTGTAAAATGCAAGCGTGTAGATGTTAGAATTCTTAGTTGTATTTTTTTTTTCCATTCGGTTCAACGACGAAATTTCCATCGATCGAAACAAGAATGGTCACGAACGGTGAGAAAACGCTCAGAAAAAAAAACAGTTTCGAGATTCACACATCTTCGATTTCTTGAGAAGAATCGAATGAAAAAGGAAATTTTTTGCAAAATGGGATGGAATTTGGAAGATTTTGTGATCTAATGAAAGGGGGACCTTTGATTGGTTCTACGCTTCTCACGTTTCGCAAATTATTCGTATCAAATTCGTCGTTGATCGCCATTGGTGGATCAAACGCGCGTTATGTTTCAATTTGCCATTTTCGCTGACGTTTCGTAACGATTTAATGATTGAGATCAGGTCTCCAAAGAAAGACAGATTTTTGGTTTCGCTCGAAATTGCTCGTCTCGATGGTTGAAAAGAAGCCTTCTTAAATTCCTTACGTTAAACGAATATTCTAATTACTTAGCGTTGTTTAAACAACACTTTGCCATGCAATACTTGCAACGTCGTAGTCTTTTCTTTTTCTTCGATCGTTCGGTGATATATTCGGACATCGTCGTACCCTCGTATACAGGGTGTTCGGCCACCCCTGGGAAGAATTTTAATGAGAGTCAATGAGATTTTGACAAGAATACTAATTTGTTGATGGAAGCTTCGTTAAAAAGTTATTAACGCTTAAAGTTCCGCCGTACTGAATTTTTTTCTCGAAAATGCGCAGGATTTCGGGGGTATGTGTATTCACCAAAAATGATTGTAATTGACCCCTGCAAACCGACAATAATTTTTCCAGAACCATTTGAAATTTTTTAATTTTGTCGGAAAATTTCACACCTTCTGGAATTTTTTTCTAGAAAGTGGGTAGGATTTCGGGGATATGTCTATTCACCAAAAATGATTGTAATTTATCCCCGCAACTGAAAATAATTTTTCCAGAACGATTTGAAATTTCTTTTTCGTCGTAAAATTTAGGCACCTACCCCCTGTCGATTTTTCTTAAAAATTCGTTTTTGGTTTTTAATAATTCTGTTTGACCCCCTACAGAAAAGTTGTCTAATACTTTTTTGTAGGTACCTACAGGCTCTACTTCAGAAAAAAATTCCAATGAAATATATTCACTATTGTAGGAGTTATGAACATTTGAAAATTGGACCATTTTTATGGGGTTTTTCTCATTTTGCGGAGTCAAGGAATAACTTTTCGAATATTTTTGAAACTTTCACATATTCTCCACTAAGAAACGCGTAATTTGCATTTTGAAAAATTGAAATCGTCCAATCCGTTCAAAAGTTATGACGTTTTAAAGATACGCATGAAATTACAGAGAAGCATTTCCTAAGGAATTTTTTTCTCGAAAATGCGTACGATTTCGGGGGTATCTTTAATGACCAAAAATGATTGTAATCGACTCCTGCAACCGAAAATAATTTTTTCAGAACGATTTGAAATTTTTTACTAACTTTTTAACGAAGCCTCAGTCAAGATATTGATATTCTTGATTTTCGTCTTATTTTGGCCTCTAGAATCTCCCTTTAAAATTTTTCCCAGAGGTGACCGAACACCCTGTATATTCTCAAATCATAGTCGTTATCTGTCTACCTTAAAAACGATATAAATACCCAATCTCTCTTTTCGTAGAGTCACATCGAACGAAGAACTTTCTTACTAGTTAGTGAAACGCGTGACCACGCGTTGGTGGAGTTTCCAATTGGAAATCCGCCATACGTTCGATTCGATTTCGAACGGTTGCTCGTGGAGGGGCCTCGAATTCGCGTTGAAGAATACGCTGGGTACCAGAGTTCCTCCTGCATTCTGTTCGACAAAGCGTACGCTTTTAAAGAGTCTCTCGACGGGACGAATGGAGAAGTATATGATAAATATGGATACTTGAGACACGAGCACGCGTATGAAAAACATCTTGCGCCTCGTTCAACGGAATTATACAAGTTTTCTTTTATTTTCATGCGTTCAAGAAGAAACGGGGGAGTCGAGAGGACGTGGGTGCAAAAAAGAATACGAAGAGAACAAAAGTAAGGTCGCGATTGGAAACGAAGAAGCGAAACAGGGATGAGAAAGAGGAGCGAGAAGAAAGAAAACCAAATAATGTTCAATGCTTTTCCTCTTCAATGAATGAAATTATCATCAACAGACAAATATGTATATTTATAATATTACAGCAGGTTGTATTTATTTGAAAAACATCACAAATATGCTCATGTTTATCACATAACCTTATACCCATCGAATATCCTTGTAAAACTTTAAGGAGCCTCCGTTTTACAGTTTGTAGAACAGAATGTAAATAACGTAGACGTGGTTTCAATTTAGTTAACGCGGGCGTTCCGTTCCTCTGGGATCCACGTGTTCTCCATTACAACGTTTCGCGTCCCCGAACGACGATGCAACGAAGTATTCGTCAAAAATATTCTTAGACCTTCGAAGGGTGTTGACCGTTTCTTTATCATCAATCGTTGCAACCGAAATTCGAATTTTGTCCCTTCGCGCCCTTTAATCTTTACAGAGAATGAGTTTCTATTTTGTTCACCCCCAAATCACGGTCAAAATCCCACGCTCCAAGGACGCGTGAAATGCTTCGTCGTACGAAACGTTTCTAAGTCTCTATATTAAGTCCCCCTAATGTTATCAAAATTTGTTTGAACACGTCTTTTGTTCGGAAACAAAGTCGCTCGCGCGTAATGTTCTCCTCAAATTTCAAGTATTTTGTTACCCTGTCGCGACACAATCCCTCCCCTCACCGAAAAAATCCAATCGATTACAGAAGACTGTTCGTCAAGTCGCTTTGAACGTTATTCGTGAACGTTGAAAAAATATTGAAAGACTTGAGTAGAGGATTCGAACATCACTCTCGGAACCGTCCGCGACGTTTGGTGTCGTTTGAGAGTGTCCTCGAGCCTTTCGTCTCTTCGAGAGCCATCGCGGAAATTAGGACGATCAAGATCGTCAGCGCGAAAGGCCCTTAATCGTATAAAACTCGAGACTTTTCGAGAAGTTGGAAACAGAATTGGGTTACTCGAGATTACACCCCCGATAAATCGACGATATTCCGTCCAAGACTTCTCCAGGACTCGTCCAGAGCTTGGTCAGCCATCACGCGGGCCGTGAATCTCGAATAACGTTCGAGGGATTCGAGGCATACGACTCTTCGGTTCCTCGCGCGATCGTCTATTATAGTCTCTACATGAGGGAACACCGTGTGACGTTGTACCTATTATCTTGGTCCACATTGTTAACGCTGAGCACGCGGAGCAGCCTCTCCGTGTCCTTGCAGACGTGCCTGTTCTGCTGCTGTTGCTTCATCAGCCTCAACGACGCCTTCCTTTTCCTCCTCTTCTTGGTCTGCGGCAGCGTCACCTCGAGCATCTGCTCGAACCTCAGCCGAATAGGCCAGCTGGTCTCCTCGTGTTCCTCGTCTTCGTACACGGACTCGTTGGTCTCTCTCTTCTGCAAGGTCTGGAACGCGTAATTAGCGGGCAACAGCTTCCTGGGCTGGGGAAACGAGTCGTGGACGCGAACCGGACGCGCCAACGAGGACCTCTTTTTAGCCGGGGTCAAACAGAGAGGTTGAAGCTTCAACGACCTGGGCAGGTTGGTGCTCTTAGGGTTCTTCGATGTCTTCGGTTCGTCCAGACGCGCCAGGGCTCTCGGATTTTCCTTGATCGCCGAGGAACCGACGGGATTGGTCGCTCGACAGTCGTTCGTTCTTTCGCCGTTCTTTGGGATCGGGTTGTTGCTCTTCGCGGTCTTGGCGAGCTTCATGTTGTTGTTGCTGCTGCTGCTGTTGTTGTTGTTGTTGCTGGTGACAATGTTCGTCGTGTGACGACACTGCTCCGCGCACTGCAGGCAGTCGTAGTACTTCTCGGCCGCGTTTCGACGGGCGGAGGCGGAGAATCGCTCGCGTAGGTACGCTCGATTGTGCCGCTCGCCCGCGTAGCCTTTATGGCGAGGCTGTTGTCACACCTCCTGGAGATACTTTAGCGGGCAGAGGGTCTCCTTGTACAGCACCTCGCCCTCTTTCCCGGTGTGGTCCGCCGATCTCACGTCCGCGGCGCAACGCACCATCGCTACGCCGTCCACCTCTTCGCCGACCTGGATCACTATCTGCCGACAGACGGATCTCGTCAGTGTTTATTCGCGAAGACAGTTGGGTATCGTAACTTTCTGTTCGTCAAATGGCGTTTTCGAACACTTATACAGGGGTTTCCTCGAAAGAAACGAAATGAAAACCACCCCGGAGATACTATAGTTCGACGTTAAAATGGTCGAACGGAAACTTTTCTCCTCGATATTGCTCGCGAAGTCATCCCCATCACTACTGAAACGTTGCAAGTCTGGTCATTAAATATTCGTATGAAAAATGAGGAAGAAAAGATATAAGAGGATCTGATATAAATCTGTTACGAAAATCATGCAATAGGCAAAAACCTATGTATGTAAATAAGCCTAACAGAGACGAGACGGATTCCTGCAATACTGTACCTCCCGTAAATCGTTTATTTGACGAACTTGGCATACCTGATCGCGCAACAGGGTGACCTGATCGCTCAGCTGGAGATTGCGAGTGACCTGAAGAGTCTTCTGGCCGGATTCCACTCGCATGACGTACGCGCTGGGGAAGTAACCGATTCGACCACCCAAACACTTCCCTTTCCACCAGTCTTTCTCCGATTTGTCGATCACCGTCACTTTGTAGCCCGCTCTGGAACAAGATCGCGACGGTGCAAGTATTACCCAAGACAAAAGCGGGGAGTTTCGAACGAGAACTACTACGAAAGGTTGACTATTAGGGGATGGTGATCGTAAAGATTAATAAACGCAAATGAACCGCCCTCTTTAAGCATGCCAGGCGTCGAAAGATCGAAATTCAAGTCAGGTTTCTATGCACGGGGAATCCCGTTCAGTGATTACTTCAAGTCTAGCTCGTCCCGGTGACGGGCGTCGAAGTTGTAGAGGGCGACGTAGAGATTGTTGGGCGGCAGAACGCGTTTCCCCGGCGGGTTCATGTGATTTTGATTGTTAGTATGCGGCGACGGGCACGGCGAAGTGCTAGCCGAGGAATACGATTTCTCGTTCTCGTCCGGCAGCTCCATACTCGACATCCTGATGGCCCCTCTTATGTGCTTGTGGACACCGTGTCCTTGGCCTGGACTGCACGGCGCTGCAGGGAAATATCAAGAAAAATACTTCAGCAGAGTGGAAACGACCCGACGTAAAAATTTTACGATCGTTCCGCACCTATTTGCGTACTCCACTCTCTTCTGAGTGTCCGCTGGGTTAGGAGTGACGATTCGTTAAACACTTCTAGGTGGTCCAAAAGAAGTTACGAATAACAAGATTTCAACCCCTTGACATACAATGACGAGTTTGACTTGTTACCAGTACTTAATGTCAATTTCACAATCATGAAGCTACTCGATCATCATCAAGTGTTTATGTATTAAAATCAACGTATTTTTACATTGACGAGATATTCATAAAACAAATCTTCTTCGTCAAGGGGTTAAGATCCTTCGAGTCGAAGAAACAAACTTTACTCCATACTTATTCGTTAACCACTTTAAGAAGTTTCAGGCTCGTAATTTTTGATAGCAGGTTCTACTTACACAATCTGTTAATACTTCCGCTGTCTGAGTGTCTGGGTGGCGTGGATTCTCTTTGGCCACCTGGACAATAATCTCGTGGACGATGTCTACCGTGAGCCGTGCCTTCCGGAGAGTCCAAACTGAGGCTCTTCATCCTCAGATTAAGCCTTTCCCGTCTACGTTGCGGACTATGCGGCGCTTCATGTTCCATAATTATCGATCATAACAAGTTAGCCTTTGAAATTAGTTCGCTGCTCGACGTTGACGCCCGTTTAGGCACAGCTAATTAATTAGCAACGGTTTGTTCTTCAAGCCAATTTTTTGTTGCGGTCTTAGCAGTGAATTCGATCGTGAAAGAGCGGCTAATTGCGGTGACGTTACTTACGATCGATTCGATATCACAATTATCAATTACGATATCAAATCGATGGGTGAAAATTATAAAATCAAGCGGAGAGTGCACAATTTTTCTGCACAATTACGTGTTCGTCGGAAGCTCCATTGTTAATAGTGCTCGCGCAAAGAAAATAAATGTGCAAACAATTAAAATACACACCTTTTTTTTTTATCGTAGAAAGATTGTTAGTTAAACTTCAAAAAACCATGTGCAACGCATTCACTTTTTTTTTTATAAACTTCAGACAGAGACGTTAGTATGTTCTTTTGCTTTTCTTTTTAATTTGGCGTCAACGTCGAGGATGGAAGAATGGATGCCACGAAACGAGGACTCCATAGATACAGTTACACCATAAATGCACACAGAAACGGTTTTTTACAGGCGACAAATTCGACCAATAGTAGAATTCACAGAGAAAAAGAGAATTCACAAAAATGTTATTTAAAAAAAAAAAAAAAAAAGTAGTAGAGAGAGAAAAATGGGACACGACTCGCGCGTAGAAGTGAGAGTAGGGGATCGCAGAAGACACAACTTTTTTTTTTATTTACAATATTTACATGGGATCTTCGTTGTGCTTTCTTTTTATATATTTTTTTTTCTTCTTTTTGGTTGCATTTCGTTCACTTTTGTTCTGTGGATTCGTGTTACACACCGCCTGTTTCGCGTTTTCCTTCGTTTTCCTTCTTCCCCTTTCTTCGTGCAATTTTCCCCTTACATTTCGTCGAATTGGTAATCTCTCGTTTCTAACAATTGGGGCTCTCCTAATGATTTACAAATTTGAAGATTTCTTTTAACATTTTAGACACGTTTCTTTTGGTCGGGACCGGAAGAAATCAAGATTCGAACAAAAATAAAGGGACAACTGAAAAGTGGAATTTTTTTTCTCACAAAAGAAATAGGATATTTACGTTCTTTGCACATCGATTTTAGTTTTATCTTCCTCGACTATCAATTTGTTACTTTTCTTTGGGAGAATGAAAAAGACAAGGATCTTCGGTGACGAATATTTTCAAGCTTGTTGAAACTTTTTATTATAATTATAGGGTTTGCAACTTAGGTGGTAATCAATTTACAAATACTTAATATTTTTTGTGGTGAAATCTTTTAAGCGAGTTTTCAAGCAAATTATAGATTTTAAAAATATTCTCCTCTCTCTTCAATGCCAATGTGTTTCATTCTACAAATTCATAAACCTATTCATTGAATATAATCATTTTTTTCGGTGGCTTTTTTAAAGATTTCTGCTCTCGAAGATCGACAAACAATCCCAAATTTGATAAACTGTTAATAATTTCGTTTCAAAAGAAACTATGCAGTAAAATTGAACATTTGTTCGGTGCTGCGGAATTATATTGCATTTCGGAGTAATTGCTATAATGAAAAATGACACGTGCTTTACGACTCAATAATTCTCAATTAGAAATATTTGGCAGATCAAAATTCTATCAACCGTTATCGGCAATTTTCGTTCGATTTGTTAGATTATTCTAAGCTCTTATAATATACTGAGGAATCCTTACCTTTTAGGCATAGTCTTTTTTGAAACAACCTGTACGTATATAATAAAAGTCCTGCAAATAATTTTATCGCTTTAGGAATTGCGGGAACTGTTTTTTTTTTTCTCAATTTGGTCATGCTGAATTTAAGAACGATAAGCTGCAAATGTTCAACGACTGAAACTAATCTATAAAAAAAAGGTTTTAAATTTTCTTAGCTTACGTATCGAGGAAATAAAAAATTTTTCCAAAGAAATATAAGGGTATTCAAAGGGTAGTTTTTCCTCTATAATTCAGCAATTCCAAATTCTTTTTTTTCATTTCAATTGTCCCCGAGCGAAATAAATATATATATATATCGTGGACACTTAAATCATCTAGTTTGCTGAAATTGTGTTTGCAACTTGGCGATTCCAAGCTTCTTTTTCTCGCGCCACTACGGGGAAAAATATCTTTCGAAAAAAGAAATTCGCGAACTAAAATCGATATAGGACACTTTGGAAAGTCCCTTAACATTTATCAATTCCTAATATTATTTACTCAATCACGCGAATGCGTGAATTATCGTTGAATCGGTAACTAACTCTTCCAGCTAACGTTAAAATAAACAAATAGAAAATAAATTTGCAATCCCATCTCCCAAGTACTTTCTCTCCTCGGTACACGAAAACATTTCGATTAAAAATAAAACGCTGCAAAAGATATCGAATAAGGTTTCCATCAACTTAATTCGAAGACAATGCGTTTGCAATTTCTTCTCCGCTATAGCAACTCCGACTTTCTAGATATTCTCCGTTATCAGAAGATGCCTTAAAACGAATCGTATTCCTGCGAAGAAGGTAAACGTTTCAAACCTACGATCGAATTCGGCAGTTCCATCTTCTATTCTTCGTGAACATCGAATTTTAATTTCAACTGCTAATCAAACTGGAGACAATCAATCACTCTCGCCGTTCTGACAACAATATGCGATATCACAGCAATTCCATCTTCTATTCAGTGGCAATTCCATCGCGAAGGACACTCGAAACTCACTCATTCTTCGAAAAAAAACAAACTACGTCGATCGAATCCAATTGCACTCGCGATTCCACCTTTCTGCCCAGGCAATTCCACTTTTACGAGCATCTGGAGCATCCACGAAGTCTACTGTTCTGAAAGGAACTGTTCCGGATCCCAAGGGGGGAAAAGAGGGCACCGGGCACCCAGTCATTCGAGTTTTTTTTAACAATTAACCCCTTAGTCAATTTAAGTTAAATTTTGTTAAATCTTCTCGGAACGAAGGTTTCAAAGAGTCGATGCTCACGAATTCCCTTCGTAATTTTCAAAATTCAAAATAATTAACGTTCATCCAAAGTGTGGGGGGCCTTTTAACCTGTAAATTTATTCTCGTCGATATTTTTCGCCCATCGTGTCGAATTCACCGGCAGCAAATTTTACTCGCGGTGTAACGAATACAAATTTTCGATTCGTAACGTGACTTCTATGTACCGTTCGATCGTAAAAAAAAGAGGAGCCGCGGGCAGAAGCTAGTTTACGATCGACCATTTTTATTCGCCGAGGTTTGGTGCCGCCTGTCTCGTAAAACTGTTCCGTTTCTTTTTGGGTGGTCGGTTTGGAAACCACTAGCTTACGGTTGTACGGTTCCGCGGGTCCAGGTTGCTCGGTGAAGGGGTTAATGGTTTCGAATCACGGTCGTTCGCGGGGGGGCAGTGAAGAATGTCGCTCGTTCGCGTCGAGCGAGCGCCGGTCGAGAACGCGTCCCGACGCGCGGATCCACTTCATGGGTCATCGTTTCCTGTTGGCGCCGCGATAAGGAGGCTCCGGCGACCTCTTAGACGGGGTCGAGGGTGTCCCGTGGGTCATCAACACCAGCGGTTGTCCAAACGGCCTGGTTCCAGACATCGATCCGCCGCTGCCTCTTCCTGGTCAACGGAATTGCAACGATTCCACGGTGATTCCTGTTTCTCTCGGTCCGCTTTAAACCCGAATCCGCAGACTTTTTCTCTCTCAACACAAGCTTTCTCACGCCTGGACGCCGTTAGAGCCGTCTGGCCGTGTGTTATTTACTCGATTATTGTTAGTCAGCCGCTCTTGCGATCGTCGAGGATCCTCGGGTACTGTTCCCCTTGGTTCTTTTCGATTTTTAATTCTCCGCAGTCGGTTCGAGCCTGGATCGCGCTCGTCCTTCAGATCCTCGCGTACAGCGAGTCAAGAAAGTATCAGGAATATTTTTCAATACTTTTTCTATTCTTTTTCGATCCAGAAATTAATTAAAAATTCTCAAAATAGCTACGCAATACGTTTTTGACTCACTGTGCGTGTTTCGAGTTTCAAATAATTTCCGCACGAATCGCGTTTCGAGGTAAATGGAGTTTTCTGTAGCTGTTACGATATGAATTAGTCTCGAGATGCAGCTTATAAATTTGTTAGCAGCAATCGAAGTGGATGAAATTGCTGGATTCTTCGTGCAAAATTAAGTCGAAATCGTAGAGTAGATTTTTTGTTATTGAGTGCACTGTCAATCGTTTCTAAAGTAATTTTTCCCGTTAGATCGAGAGCCAGAATATTCGTCTTGTTTTTGAACAAAGAATGGCCCAGCGATGGTCCTGTGTCTCCAAACAAGCCGTTTTATCAATTTTCATTCGACTCAGCGCTGAACAAAGGGCAAGGGACTAGAAAGCTCACGCGAGACGAGGCTCGCGGAAAAGCGTTAAAACGTTTCTCTCTTCGTCGAGGAAAGTCCCACAATGGTAAATTCAGAATCGTCGATCTTTGATCGCGTCGAAGGCTCGAAGCCCTCGAATATGCTCAGACACCTTGAACGAGCTTTCATAAAGATGCATTGAAAGATAGCACTTGCTATTTCCCCTCAACGATTTCACGCCTGATGTCTATTGGCCGATCTCCGACGATACAAAAAAAGAAAATAATTGCAGTACCATCTTCTCAACGTTTTCAAAAACCATTTCGAACGGCACATAATAATGTGGCTATTTATAATAATCATTCTCATAAAATAAAGTTTCTAGTATCGTTAACAGTAACTATCGTCTAATTAGATAAAGATTAGAAAAAAAAATTCTAATTTTCTACGTAGTGCAACTAATTGAAAAGACGCTCTGAAGGGATTCAACACCTTCGTCAATGTGCAACGTTCCACGATCAGAGATTCAGACGAAAGTGCAACGCGATGGTCTGGATCCGGTGGATCGTAAATCCTGGTACCTCGATTTCTCCGTGTGTCGTGGGAGAATAAAAATTAACGATGGCGCGGGTAAAGGGGAAGAATGAAGATGAAGTAGGAGAAAGTAGAGACAGAGAGAAGATTAGACAGACAATTAAAAGAAAAAAATGTGAATTAACGAGTCATGTCCCTGAAGAAGACGAGCATTCTTCCTTTTGATTAAAAAAAATAAAATAAAAAAGAAAGAGGGTTACGTGGGGATCTTGAAGCAGAGAACGACGGTACGACGAAACGAACTCGTGGAGCCTTTTCGCGAGTGCATCTTGCAATTTCTTGTTCCGTGATTACCTTTTGAAAGCTTATTCGCTACGATACGGGACTGTATTTAAAAAAAAATATGGCTACGATTTTATTTTAGCAATGCTAGTACGAAGCATAGCTCGTCTTTTAATCGAATAAATTCGAACGATGTTGGTGAAAAATTGCTCTTTGAAGATTAAAGAAGTTAAAAATGTATGTCCTTTTATAGGGGAAATTGAATCAAAGCCTGAAGTTATTGAAATTGCAAAACCGTGCAAAGGAAAGTTGACTGACCTCTCATCCTACGTTCAGAAGGAATTTCTAAAATGTCTACTTGCATACTCAACGAATAATACTGTAATCGAAAATTTTACTTCGCTATATTTCTACTTACTTAGTCTAATACCAGCTGCTTAAATCGAGGACAAATTCACAAATTAATGAAACTCTATTCTTAAACCTGAAAATACTTATTGCATGAAACTGGTTTGAGTTGATCTTCAAACCACTTGTCTACTACATCAAACAACTCAACTTCTAACTACTGTGAATAATTATTACTCAGCTTTTATACCTTAAAATAGTGAATAATTCCATACGTTTACACTAAATGGAGACTACAAATTTTCTTAAACTTGGAGAATCTACTCTGTGAATTCGTTCGCCAGTCAATTCCTTTGCACGGCGGGATGCATCCCGGAATCTCCGAGGGCAATGTCGTTTTGAAGAAACGCGAGCTCGCGAATCCCCCAAAATTGTGGATGAATTCTGCTTCAAGGTCGAGAGGAATCGGTGCTGTGCCTTACCAGAGGTGGACGAGGAACAGGGGTGGGAGGAGGCCCTCGCTGACGAAGGTGCTGCACCGGAGGGAGGATGATCTGCTGTGGGAGGCGTAGGTGGTGAGTTTGTCGAGTTTCCACGGATCTCGCCTGCCTCCTTCAGCACCTGGTATATGGCGTCCATGTCTGCCCACACGTTATAGAGAGACAGCAATGCAAAAGCACACGAGAGACATCACAAGATGTTCTTTCTTGTCGTTTCATACTCTTTTTTCTTTTCACTTTCTTTTTTTTTGTTTACTTTGCTCAGGTTGTTCTTTACACCCCTCGCTCAAAGCACCGGTCCTTTGAACAATAACTGCCTTTAATTATTCGGTTCTTCGTCGCTTGTTTGCGCTTGTCTTCCTTTTGTTCGAATGGGCAGGCAGTGATATAATGACAGGGAAGAGACGCGTTCCTTGTTAGCGCGACGAGAAAAGGAGAAGACTCGTTCGAGTTGCAGTAATTCGATACGTCTTCTTTGTTCGGCAAAACGTGCGCTCGATATTGATTTCTCAACCTGTCTCGCGTTTCGTTTCGGTTTACGCGATCGGGATAAAGTATCCGAGCGATTTTAGTATAGGGCGTCTTGCTTCTGCAACTCGAACAAGTTTCTGCGACGCGCGCGTGTTAAAGTTAGTACCCGGGAACTCGACGTTGATTTACCTAAATTGGCGCCTTTCTTCTCCGAGGAAACGGTGAATGAAGAATGGCGAAGATCGTTAACTTAAAGACACCTGCTGCTCGAAGGACCGATACTTTTCGTCCGGAGTCCAACTTCGCATTCGAAGTCACCGAAATTGTAAAAATAAAAATCTAAACGTTTCACGGTAACAAAATTCGTGTTTTTACTTGGGGAATTCCCCGAATAGCTTCAGTCAGAAAAAAACATTCGGTTCCTGTTTAAAATTATTCGAGAAATAAAAAATTCTCTCCCATACGTACAATGAAGACTCAGTATGGGAAATGTTTTAAAAATAGACTTCGTTTCAGAGTAACCAAATCATCGATTATCGCGTCGTTTATTCGTAAAAGAACGATTTCTCTGCATCGGTGACTCCGAACGTACAATTATGACACCGTGACGCGTTAGTGAGTCGAAAGTGTCATGGAAAGAGACCTGTCCCATTTCAGCAGCCTCTGCTCTTTTCGTTTTCGTGCCAGGCGACGGAGGGACGCGAGAAGAGAGAGCTGAAGGTCCGATAAGACGAACGATCCGATTACTTTCTCGTGGATTGATTCGTTAATTGCGATGGGCTTGTGATGCATTGTGATCTCGGTTTTCTCGTGCCTTATCGAGCGACTATCGATTACGTGATTGGGGAAGCCGACCGTGAGTCGACGTGAAAGAGATCGGGTGGCACAACTTCGTGCAAAGTTGATCCTCCAGAGACGCTTGTTACCGTTTGTTTGATTCACGGATCGATCGATGCTCCCGACGCGGCCAAATCGTCGCTTTGATATTGTTTTTTTAGAAAATTTCGTCTCGTTTCCGCGAATTACACCATTCTCTAACGAACACGTGTTCTTGATGACGTCGATTTGGGGCGCGAGACCGTCGATCGTCCTCGACAACGAGAGTGAGAGAGAAAAAGAAGAAGTATCTCGCGTCACGGCGAGGCAAGAAAACCAGAAACCCTTTTCGAAACCTCGTCCCAAAACTGGTTTGTACTTACTGTGCTCCGCGGCTGGCGTGTCGTCGACCGTCGCCTGCGTCTTCTGCCGACGTAGAAGAGGAATGCCGCCGCTCTTCTTCGGCGCCAAGCTCGGGCACATCGCCGGCTGCACCAGGTGGATGCAGTCCGTGTGCGCGTTCGCCTTGCACCCGCGACACCTGACACCCTGGCGACTGTGACCGCGCAACACCTGACCGCAGGCATCGCAAGGGGTGATTTTTCGGTAGGTGTACTCGCGCCAAGTGTGACCACCCTCCGATTCGAGGCTTTTTCTGCAAAAAGATCGCTTCGATATTAATATCAAGCACGTCTTCTGCATGGAATTACAACAGTCCACGCTTTCTGCACCGTTTCGAGAAGGTCTCTTGTACGTTTGATCAAGTTTGACCAAGTTTGAACAAGCCTTTATGTTTTAAAGAAACGGTGGTTGAAAGATGCATTGCATTTTAGGGAAATATTAGCGATCTTCAAAATTACGCTTTAAAGATGGTGTCACGTTAGTAAGCGTGACCACCCTTGGATTCTCGAGGCTTTTTCTGCAAAAGACAGCTTCGATATTAATATTAAATCTTCTGCACGGCTTGGAGGAGGTCTCTTGTACGTTTGAGCACGTTTCACCAAGTTATTATTATTATTATTATTATTCATTTATTAACGGAAATAAACCCTTTAGTACAAAAGATGTAATATGTAAGAAACTATAAATGGGTATAAATAAATCAAAAAGTAAATCAATCATAAAATAAATCAATAAATAAACCAAAAAAAAATTCCAAAATCGAAAAATACACCCTTTAGTACAAAAGATGTAATATGTAAGAAACTATAAATGGGTATAAATAAATCAAAAAGTAAATCAATCATAAAATAAATCAATTTACGTTGCAAGGATAATTTTAGACTATCTAATGATTGTTCAATTATCGAACAATTTGAACAAGCCTGTATATCGTGTGTTTAGGAAAATATTAGCGATCACTCTTCAAAATTACGCTTTAAAAACGGTGTCACTTAAAAATTGATAATTAAACGAGTTAATTATGCGTAGAGAAGCAAGAAACGTTACCTGGACATGGCGACGACGGTGGAAACAGCATGGTACATCGCCTGCTTTCCTCTGTGTTAGTCAAGCATCGACAAAACAACACACGGTTATCTCTAAATAACTTTTTCATTAACACGATCCAACTTCATTGTCATCGCGTTATTGTAAAACAAGAAAATGGGAAAAAGTGTACGCGGCGAGCAGCGTTTGCTTTATGGAATAAACTGGAGCTTTAATGAATTCTAGAGAATACACTGACTTGTCGGTCGACGGTGGCGTTGTCGGCGAACTCGTCTTTAAACTCTTGAACGCTTTCAACCATTTGTGCTTGGTACTTCCGGTCGAGCCATTCGACATCTTCCGGCCGCTCACCCCATCCGGTTGACCGGCTTCTCCACCACCAAACAATTCTTTCTGAAAATCGAAGTGAATCTCGTGTGAACGGTCCGTTCTGGCAGAGCGGAGGACAATTATTTTCATTAAATCTGGAATTATTTCGAAGCCTCGCGAACAATATTGAATTTTAACAATATTAAACTTTCTTTTATGGCGTATAATATTTAAACTAGACAAAAAGAATAAAGTTTGACGCTGAAAATTTCGAGACCCTTCTGAATAGTATTTTGAAATAAATTTTCAGTTTCTTGTTACTTATTTTAACTTTTCCACGTTAAAATATCGTTCTGAAATTAAATTCTTTCTACGCAGAAGAATTTATACCAGACGAGAAACCTTAATGATAATTTCAAGATGGCTTCTTAACGAATAGTTTCGCTTTAGAAGCGAAACCTTAATCTGTGATTGAGTTTTTTGTTTATATTGCATACAATTTAAATTGAACATTCGAAGTTTGCTTAAAAGTTGTTCTGGTTCGGAGCATGCAGCGTATTCAGCCTCGGCCCAGCGACATCGTCGGTCCTGACCGAGAAATGCAATGGAAATCAACCGCGTTTCTGCTCGACTTGCTTGGCGGGTCGTGCACGATCAAGCGGTAAATAGATATCCAATGGAAGAGGAAGCCAGAGCAATTTTACGTGCGACGATGGTACCAATATTAATTGGATTCAATTACTGAATATCAGATCTCGTGTACAACTGTTTACGCTAATGTTTCAGTAAACATTATTTTAGTAAAAAATATTAGCCTTAGAAAAGTAGAAAGAAGAGGGTCTGAAAATAGTTTTTTTCTATCGTGAGTTTTCTTTCATACGTTGAATAAACATCACCATAGACTATTGCTTGATCTAAACGTTATTCTTTCTGCAAACAATTGGTTGGAAACAATTGTTCGAGATTCTAATAATTAGAGTATAACTGCTCCCTTACAGTTAAATCGTAACTCGATCATCGATTTTTAAGGTATTTCGATAACCAGATGTTTTCATTAGTTATCCAATCTAAGCTATAATGAATAGTATTGTTCGAATCGAGGCTGTTATTGATTCCGAACAGGCTACTGTGCATCATGCCATTGTATCGAGGATTGGATATACTATAGAGACTTCATTCATAAAAAGGCCGAAGGTGCATCGACCATGTCAAACAGTATTCAATATTATCGAATAACGTGGCATCGAGTAAAGAAACAAACGTTTCGTGCCACGACAACTACGAGTTTACGTTTAAAATAGATATTAACGATGAAACTAAAAATAGGGAACTGTAATCATTGAATCGGAATTAAGGGCAGAGAAATTGCGTCTACAATTTCGATTATAATAACAGACTCATTGATCTAAAGAGGAAGGACGGAATGGTCGGGAGCAGCGAACGAGAAGGGTGAAAGTGCATTAACCGTATGATATTTCAAGAATCGTTGTTTCAAAATGGCTCAGGATATTCCAGTATACGCGAACCGCCAAGGGGTTCGCAATTTCAGGCGTTCGAAACTTTCGGGTTATCGAAACCACCAAGAATTTCCAAACTTCTCAGACTCGTAACGACCGTCGAGATTTTCAAGAATTTATCAACGTTCAAATATTCACGAAAACTAAATTTCTTTCGCAGGGTCTGGAAAATCGAATTTGGTGTTTGTTAAAATGTATTTTGTATTATACGATTTATAGAATTTCTATTTCCTTGATCACCATTACTTGCAAAACCCGTTAGAAGTCGATACCGATCGAAACGAATTCTCGTGCATTAGAATATTTTTAAACGAAGCAATAGATTTAAATTTTGAAGAAGAATCGACGCCCACCGCGTGAGGCGTTTCTAATTAACCCACGCGAGGTAGAAAAAATAGAAATAGAAATAATGGAACTCGAGAAACGTGATTCCCGGCTCGATCGACGCCGGGCAACGCGACCGAGCGTGGAAACGGATCCGAGAAGAGTCCATTTTTCGGTGGCTGGTCGAAAAGCAGCCAGCAACGTTTCCCAGTTGGACACGTGCGCCACGAAACATGTCACCCACGTGTCGACGAACCACATACAACGCACTGCGGCAGCAATCGAAAACCAAGTCACGTGACTAACCTCCCAACAATAGCAAACAATCGAGCCCGAAGAACAAACAAGTCGCACTTTCTGGCTTAAACTGTCCAACGAAACGATAGCCTCTCGCAACCATGATCCCACAAAAAACGAAAGCATTCGACACCAGCACGATCCCCACCTCTGAGCACAGCTCCTACGGATGTCCTGGTCGCAGGACCACCAGGAGTCACCATAGCCAGCTGCATAGCAACAAACACTGCGTCCATCGAACGAACGACGCCAAACATATCCTAGCCACAGCCGTCGATCGTGATTCGATAAACGTTCGACGCGTTTCTGGTTCGATGGACAGGACGATCCTTCGACGGGGACAACGTAGGAGGGTCTTCCAGGTGTTCAAGGGGAATACTAACTACTCGTGTGCGCAACGATGTCCAACCCATGTCTGCGAGGACCTCAGCGGCTGCTCCTGCTACCCTGACCTAGGAAGGCGGACTCGACTCGAGGCCAGGAATGGATTTTCAGACTCTCGTGTTGGACGGTGACCCAGTTGTGAGGGCGCATGTCGCGCGATTGCGCGCCGTATTTATTCGTCGGTCGCTGGATACCCGTTTCTGTGTTTACGCCGCGCGACGGGTCTCGTTCTTTGATTTTCTCGCGCTCCCAGCGTTTTCCACGGAAGGAATCTGTCCAAAAGGGTCTTTTCTATCATCCACGCGCGGGAAAACTAGCATATCGGTCGAGCAAAGCGATCTATCAACGCTCTACGTTCGAAGGAGACACCGTAGAAAACAATTAAATATCACTGTAGCAAAATAGAAGAGACTGAGGAATATAGCTCTTGAAGCTAAGATAGTTCTGGGCATTTTGGATCAGTTGCGATAATATGGAATACTTTTTTTTTTGTACACATGTTTCACTTGCTTACAGGACCTAAAATATTATGAATTTATAGAAAATTGTATGCTGGTAACAGTCAAATTTTAAATGTAATAACGGTTTAAGTAATGTTTACTTTTTTTATAGAATACTACATGTTCCTTAAGTTTTTAGAAATATTATTCGACAATCGTTGCGAAAATTTGACCATATTTGAAGAAATAATCAAGCTAACACAAAGCTGATGGACTTACCTTATTATGTATAATATTAGGTGAAAGATCACCTTGCAAAAACTCAGACTGCGATAATTTCTTCGATATTCTTTTACGAACACGTGTTGCTTTGCTAGTTGTAACAAATGACAATCGTAATCGATTGCAACCATCGCCATTAAATGTCAAAATCGCGATTCTTTAATATTGCGTTGTTCCAGATTAGGAACGTATTCCATATTAGGGCAATTGACCCTACCTATTAACGCTAGAACTACAGACAATTATAGTGTATTTGTTTGTTCATTCTCTTATAGGAAACTGCAATAAATTTTCAGAAATCCAATGTAGTAAATTTTGTATTATTTTTATTAGAAATTAGAAATTAGTAACTTTGACTGCTTTGAAACTTGTAGTGTTAAATATTAATCTTCTATCAATTAGTATTTAAATTATTAGGAATATCAATTTTGAACGCGTCGTAAAACACCTCGAGTCTATCAGTGGCCGGGAACACCACGGGAAGAGCCACAGCAAGAAAACGCTCTTTCTTTAACAACCCTTCTTTGGATCTTCCGTCCGAACGCACCCATTAACCGCTTTCGTAACCTTCTTTCTACCCTCGAGTCCATTACCTCCCCTCTCTCGTCGCCAAGTCCACAACTATCCCTCCACAAGGACCATCTGACCAATCACGATCGCCCAAAAATCGACGCGAGAAGCCCAGAACAGAATTTTGTATCGTCGATCCGTCTCCTCCAACCACACTCAAAACATTATAACTTTCTATCACATCACTGTGTTTCTGAACTATAAAAACAACGACTATGACCCTTTCTCTGGTGTGCAATTTTACCTCGAACAAATAATTTTTCTCGCACTGTTTATGATTTTGAACAACCATCTATCTATCTTGATGCTCGCGATCGATCGTTGCAGCTGAATTTTAGTAACTGGAGTTTCAAATATATTTTTTCTATTTCCCCGGCCTGTTTTCCAGGGTCAGTGTCTGCGACCTCCGACACCTTCTATTCGCCACTCTATTTCTACGACACAGTCGAGGACGGGTCGACCTCCGACGCGAAGGAAATTGCCACGACGGATCCAAACAGGCAATTATCGATACCCGGACAGCTTGTTCCGTAGATACTCGTATCAAGTGGCTGTCGACAGGTCCATTAGAACGCGTCTTGTTGAAAATTTCAGCAGGACTTGTCCCTAATATCGACCCATTCCTGAAAGCACGCCGATTAAACGAGCTTGCTTCAATCTCTAACCTGCATCTCTACTCGTCGCTAAGGGGCTTCAGGATGGCTTTGCTACTCCCTACGTCGAACACGTTTATGCTTGTTCCGTAGCACTGAACTCTACGACACGGGCGTCCCGACGTTCAACGTCTTTTCACGAGTATTTATTAATTTTTTCTCGTTCTCCGATAATTCGAGTCGACGGGTATTTTAGTTGAGATCGGAGAATCGCGATGTCTGGTTTGATATTTCGTTCGCTAGGCGCCAGAAGGGTGCAAAGGGTTAATAAATAACAGCAAACGAGCTTTCATTGTTCGAAGATTAAATTATTACGATTCGAATTGATTTATGGAACGAAACGTTTCAGAATACAATTCTATAAAATGTTTGGATGTTATAATAAAGATTTTATGAAACACGTAAAGTAGCGTAAAAATTTAGATTTGCACCAAAATGGACGTACCAAGAGTCACAGTTCGAAAATTAAATTATTGCGATTATGAATTAATTTAAGGAAAGAGACCTTTCAGAACATGATTCTATACAATACTTGGATATAATAATAAATAAAGATTTTACGAAACACAATAGATTTGGACCAAAATGGACGCGCCAAGACGGATCACCGTTCGAAGATTAAATTATTGCGATTATGAATTAATTTAAGGAAAGAAACGTTTCAGAACACGATTCTATAAAATACTTGTATATAATACTAAATAAAGATTTTACGAAACACGTAAAGTAGCGTAAAAATATAGATTTGGACCAAAATGGACGCACCAAGGCTCACCGTTTGAATTATTGCAATTCGAATTAATTTAAAAAAGGAAACGCTTTGGTCAATAAAATTCAATAAAATAATAAATATAATAAATAGGGATTGAACCAAAATGGACGCGTCAAGGCGGTTCACCGGTTCGAAAATTAAATGGTCTCGATTCGAAGTGATTTAAAGAAACATTTCAAAACACGATTCTATGCAAATATTTGAATGTCAGGAGTCCCTGAAGGATAGAGGTTTCTAATTTTCCGAATTTTCGAGCGTGACGAGGCCTCGTCAGCGATTCCTAAATGTCCGATTGGGCGTCAGCGGTGTACAGTGCAAGGTATTTAGGGCTCTTGGCATGCGGCTGGAAGGATTAGGACACGTCGTATTCAGGAATTTTGCAAATGCTCGAGCGGAACGTTCGAATGAGGCCAATCGTCCTCAATGGCACCGGTGCATTCGATGCGCAAGCACATGCACATACTCGAAAGTCGTATGCAAATCAATATTATTGAATTCCGCGGTGCACGTTTAACGTGGCGCGTTACGCGGTCTGTCTCGAGTGAAAAATACGCGCCGAATCTATTTCACGTTGCACTTTATCTTTGTCTTGCGCTTCCCTTTGCCCTCCCCCAGCGACTCTAAACGGCCACGCTTCTCCCTGCACCGATTCGTTTCACATCGATTCTTAATCCCTCCAAATTTACATCAAAATCACAGTTACACTCTACTCTTAACTCTTGAAGGGTTAAAAATCGAACAACTCTAACACCGTCGTTAGAAAACAGTAAAAGTCTATCCGGAGAAACGATTCGTTAAATTTGTAGAACAAACTAAGCGGTTCTCGATCTCGACTGCGTTCTCTTCCAGCTTCCGGTTCGAAAGTCGATCGCTCCCCCGAGTCGAGGAAATCGTCGATGTACTCACTGAATCGATGGTCCCGTTATGGTCTCCGGAGCCTCTGTCTCGCTACTCGTTTTCCTTCTTCCAGCGGCAACGGCTCCCCTGGACCGTCGAAATCCAATCAACGCGACCGCCTCCTAGCCGCGACGCGGAACGGTCGTTCGACGTCGTGGAACGAAAGAACGAAAGTGGCCGTCGACTGGTTCGAAATTGTGCCCGCACGTGCAAGGTGCATTGTACTTGTTCGCCGTACGTACGTGGAAGGGAACAATGGTAGGCTCATGCTAATTTTAATCGGCTGAGCCGCGCGCTGCCCCTCGACTGCTCGAGTGCCACGAAAGCGACCAGCTTCTTTTCTTTCCACTCGATCGGCAGTTTCTTTTGTTGTCTCGCGGTTTTAGAGTTGTTCGATTGGCCACGACGCCGTGGCCGGGGACACGGAGCCTGGTTACAGGCGACATTAGTGTCACGGATTGCCCTCTTTGTCGTTCTCGGCCACTCGAGCCCCTGGTCGATCGTTCGATCGGCATGGCCAATGGTTCTCCCAGTCGTACACGATCGTACCTTGACTTACATTTAATAAAAACGACGCTTTCTCAAATTACAGGTCGCAAACCCTTCGATGGGCTTGAGTGTAGATCAAATTCTGTTATTTTAGAGCAAACAATCGCGTCTTCATCTTAAATTGATATCTTTCACAGGTTGGAAACGACACAGGGTTTTCGATCTTGTTTCCTCTACGAAACTAGTCACAAAGCAGTTTTGGTTCTGATGATTGACGTTCGTTGCCTTGGGCACTTTAAGACCCAATCTACTCGACTAATGTCTGTTGTTGCCCATGTTCGATATCAATTTTTAACAAAATTGTCGACTCAAGGCACTTTTGGTTCTAATGATTGATATTCAACGTCTTTGACACAAGATCCAATCTACTCGACTAATGTCTGTTGTTGCCCATGTTCCATATCAATTTTTAACAAAATTGTCGACTCAAGGCACTTTTGGTTCTAATGATTGATATTCAACGTCTTTGACACAAGATCCAATCTACTCGACTAATGTCTGTTGTTGTCCATCTTCGATATCAATTTTTAATAAAATTGTCGACTCAAAGCACTTTCGGTCCTAATGATTGCCTTGGACGCAAAGATATTTAAAATCTAACGAAGTTCAACATCCTCAACTGAGGATGTATGTTCATACATCAGAGGACATTCTATGTTCTCACAATGGCTGCTGTGGCTAATGGTGAACGAATAAGTCTGCTGTATCTTATATATTCGAATATTACAATCTGTAAAAGTAAGTTAACCGAGTTAACCATGTCTCCATCCAGGGTTAGGGTTATGGTTAGTCTCTGGTTGCAAACAGGGGCAGTAGTTCCCGTCCCTAGACACGTCTCGCGTCAGTTATCATCCAGACAACTTAAATAAGGTCCCAGTTTACCGTCAATCCTTGTCATCGCCACAATGTACTTCTTTCGAACAATATGAAATGTCATTTGATAGTCGATTCATCTTCATCTTCGTTAAAGTTATCAAAATACCAAAATTATATGTGACACATATAAACAACAAAGATCCTATATAATATACAGTCGTCGTATCTTTGTAAAACGTTTCTACATTCAGACACTATTCTTTTCAGCCTGACACAATTAACCAGTTTACGCAAACGATCCAATTTTATATTCGCAAGAGAAGCTTACAAATACCAAAGAATGCGATCGAATAAAAAAATTCGTCGTCTAAAAAATATCGAACACGGCGTGTTAACTTTGTCAGAGGCTCCGGGGAACAAATTGTCCGGCGTCGGTGGCAGCTACGAGTAATGTCCCATAGCGTGTAAAAGCCCATCGGAAAGTTTCGGGCGACCGTAACGTTGAAAAACTTGCCACTTTCTCGCAGCGTTTCTTCTTGTCTCGAAAACCGCGACACGGCTCGTCGAAACTTTTTTCATTCGTCGCGGCGAAGTTGTCGCGGTTCGCGTGGGAAAGGAAAAAGCCGTCGGGCGACTTTCGAATTGGATCCGCAAAGAACGATCGTCGTTTCCCGGCTTCCCTCGCGCTCAATTTCCCTTAAAATCGATCCCGGAATTTTTCAACTTCTTACATTTCTATTTACACGATTTTAATTTGATTTCGAATTATTAATATTAGTAAATCTTTCAGCGTCTCGCGTTCGCTAGGTCGAAATTGCGTTGGACGGATTTCTTTTTCTTTTTCTTGGATGTTTCGGCCTATAAAAGTTCGCCTCCCGGCGTGTTTGTCGATCGGTAACAAAAAAATACCTGTGCTTGCACGGCTGCCAAGTAAAGCTGCGCCTCTCCGAGCTCGAAACGCTTCATAGAGATGTCTTCTTGCAGTTCGGCCACTTTAGTGTAGAGATTGCTTTCGGCGCTCCTGCAATTAAAAAAGAGAAACCATTTAACGATTCGAGCTTCTTGCAATTAAAACGAGAACGGTCGAGTGTTTTCCTAGAGGATGAGGATGGACGAAATTGCGCGAGTGAAAACGTCGTCCTTTGTAACGTGTTTACCCCCCATCCTTGGACGGGTTAAATTACCAGAAAAGAGATATTAAATTTTCCACGTAACTATCTTGTGATTGCATCGAGGGAATTATTTTTGTTCGATACGCAATCTCGCTTATAGAGTGGCCATAGATCGGTCGATCGCTCAGGGTCGCGCGGGAACTTGCACACTATGATACAGGACGATTCTAAAAACTGGGACAAACTGTAAAAAACCTCTGAGATACTTTAATATTTTTTATTTGAAGAGCCGAAAGATAGTTGATTCCACGAATCGAGGGATAGATGATCGATAATTGCTACTACGTACTTGCGTTGCATGCGCATCAGAGCATCCAGAGCATCGTGGAGACGTGAAATCTCCTGGTTGAGACTGTCGTGTTCCCGTCGAAGATCCTCCATCATAGGCAACGTGCTGGTCGTTGTCGGGGCTAACTCGTCCCTCAAAGAGGGTATTTGATTTATTCGTTCCATGGGTATCTTTTCCGGAGGGCCCGGTGCGACGAACAGGCGTCTAAATGGCTTCTTCGATGGAGTCTGGGTCGCTGACAAACTCCGTGCCAGAACCTGAACACAGAATCCCCGTTTTGACAAATTGCTTCCGAAGGCGGGGAGCCACAAATCGATATCTAACAAAGCAACTAAGACACGCGACGTGTTTTTTCCATACTCCAATTTCACTTTTGTCGAAAGCTCGTGGCCATTAATCATAGATATTTCTTTCATCCCCTAACGCTTTCATAGAAATCTCAAGGAAATTACTTAACCTTTCCTTTACTTTATTTGTTGATTTATTCAGTTGTGACTATCCTGAACAAAAGTTTAATCATATTATCTGGCAATGGCCACGGTTTGATATTGGCAGAAATGAAATGATTTCTAAATTATGTTCATTAAACTTTTCCCCCCCCTTACACGATTAACAGCGTTCTTTATCAAGCAAGTATCTCCTCGCTAATGGTTATTTTCAAATTTCTACAGAAGCATTGTGTATATATTTAATCAGCTGTTTTCTTGTAATGTATAATTTTTTATCGATAAGTGTGTATAGATAATCTAAATGTAGATCCCTGTGTACAGGGTTACACAGCATTCAATCAAAAAAAAAAAAAAAATACCCATTAGTGAAGAAAGGGTATAAAAGATAGTTACATAATAAAGATAAACAGAAATATAAAATTGAATGTTATGAAGTATGAGACTGACTGTAAATTACAAGGAGATGCCAAGTAAAGAACGTTTGAATGATAGAATTGAATGGTTGAAAACATCGTACACATACGATTATAAGGGTTGTAAAAGCCATAAAGTGTTCTATAAATGATGTAATATCCTAGAAGGAACATTTTTAAGCATTTCAATGATATTCAAACACGAGAGATCATTAACTACCCTGTTAACAAAGAGACGATTTTAAGGGTGAGATTTTACACGATCTACTTTTATTTTTAAAAAAATCTAAAGATTTAACAGTGAGTTGAGTACCAAGGTGGAAGATTTCTGTAAAAATACGTACTTGTAGGTCATTCAACGGCATGACGACTTGAGCCTCCTTGGCGACAGCCTGATAGCGCTTCGCTTGTTCCCCGGCTCGCTCCGCGGCGGCCTCTGAAATCCCGGCGACGCATTTGCAAGCCAAACCGCACAGCTCCTCGTAGACTTCCGTTATTTCACCGAGCAGACTGGGCAGACATTGGGACTGGTAGCGTTCCGTGATGGCGTTGGTGGCCCTCAATTGAAGAACGTACGCGTTGTGCGCCTCGAAGTAGAGGCGTTTCAGCTCCTGCTCGCCTCCGCTGTCGATCGTCAACAAAGCTGCGTAAGCGCGCTTGTAGTCCGCTCGTGCACGCTGCAACTTCTCCTCGGACTTCAACACGACTTGCTCGTAAGCCTCGCGATGGCCGAACACCTGAAAAAAGGACCCATTTTTTAAAAAAAAATCTTGGAAATCTGCAAAAAATCTGTCGCTTATTGACGGAAACGTTGTTGATTCCAGAGATTTTTCAACCCCTTTCGATGATCTGACAAAAAAATGTTTCCTATCGAAATTACAGGTGCTTGAGGAAATGATTGAATGACTGATTGAAATTGCAGACATTGAAGGAAAAATTGCCACGATATTTGAAATTATTCGGCGAGAAATAATACTGAGGCCCCGCATTTAAACGTAAATAAATGAACGTAAACATTACGAATATTTTATTAATAGTGTAACATTTATTCAACCTCAGGATTTAACACATAAAATAAAAGAAATGTTTATACAAAGCCAAACTGAAAGCATGTTAAAAGGGTGCATGTAATTAGTAATTGAATTAAATATTTGAACTGCATGAAAACATTACTGATATTATTACGAATAATAGTGACTCTATATAAGCAGAGAAGTCGCAATTAACATGGATAACATCTAACAATCATCTCGACTACCGTTTGCTAAAGATTTACGAAATAAGTTCGTTTTACCTTCCTGGACTGGAGCTTCCGGTGAAAGCTGGCTTCCAGAGTGGGTCTGGAGAGCTGTTGCTGAAGAACCGCGGCCAGGTCCAGGTGTGCCACCGCGTCCGCTTCGACCTGTCGCAGCAAACTCTCCCAAACGCGACGCATACCGCCGCTGTCGATCCTGGTATCTCCGGATCTGCCTCGAAACTCGTCGACGAGTCGTCGTACGTTCGCGGAATGGCTCTCCATCGCCGCGCCCAGTTCCTGCGCGAACTCCGACACTATTTGCAAAAAGAACGTACGCATTACTCGCGTGCATCGTTATCTCTATCAACCCTTAAATAGAATCACCATACGCCCACGATTATTTAAACTGCTGCTCGTCGAAACTGGCACGATAATGGGCGGCCATTCGAAAGGCAAACCCTCTTCAATTTTCTCAAATACCTTTTCAGACGCGAATAAAAACGAAAAATAAAAATAGCTTCCATCGACAAAACGAAGGGAAAAACTTCAAACTGCTCCCAAATTTTTAAAAGATTTTTTTTTCTACCGAAACCTCTGAAAGTTGTGAAAAGGTATTTAAAGAAATTGCTCGCGTATTTAAACTTCGTTTATCGCTCACTTTACTTCGAGCCATTGTTCTGGAAAGTATCTGTCGCTTGGAAAGAGAGCTGGTTTAATTATTTGTATTTATTGGTAACTATCTCGTCGTTTGATTCGTGTTTTGTCGTCCGTCAGATTTGTTTGTGAAAATCGTCAACGACCGGCTTCTCCACGTTTCCGTCGGACAATGGGGGACCATTTATCGCATCGACCGACGCCGCGTCCAGCGTAATTGTTTATTGATACAAGGGCTGTCGTTTGTTTCCCGCGCGTTGAAATATTTGAAGAGAACTCGAAATCTCGTGTAACCGGCGCCCCCGCGGACCTTCGATTCCGCTCCAGTGAATGGATCTGACATGACGCACCCTCTAGTGGAATCCGCGATTTTGTACTCGACTTACTGAATGATTTCAATTCGAGTAGGCGCATCGACACGTTTGCGAGCAACGTCTGGTTTCATTAATTAAATTGAACGCTCTCGATCGATCGTCGAGTGGCTGCACTGTTCGGGGAAAATTGTGGTCGGATTTGAAATAATATTCTCTGTACTACCCTGCCATTTATTTTATTAGGATTAAAGTATTAACAAACCTTTGTTTATTAAACGAGAACGAGTCGAAACATAATTTTAAGGTAGAAGATTTATGGTCTTCTGACGTTATTACGTTCCTCTGCGCCGCCATATTGGATGCAAACGTTTTTACGCGTCCATCTTTGGCATCGTATTTATTATTGAATCGTTTCCCGGTCAGGGAAGAGGCAATAGTCGAACGAAGTATAATCTGAGTTGTACGTTGGATGAATTGTAGGTGTAATTATTCAGGACGTCCAAGTTGGAATAGCAGAATACAGCCAACCTCGAAACTTCCGAGAAGTTTGAATGTTCCGAGCTTCCTGCGAAGGGTTGTAGGTTTCTAGAGAAGTAATTCTCATTCTTGACACTAGATAGCGCCACCAAATTATGTATACCGACATTGCAGATGCTTATTCATATTCAGCATTTATAATATTTATTATACGTTCGGACTGACCGACGATAACTTTCGTACGAGCCACCTTAAATTTCGTCTAACCCACGGCAAAGTAAAAATATTATTTTGTTTCGTTACTCTTTATACGCTAAAGGAAAATATAGGCTACATACTTTAGGGAAATATTAGCTATATTATTATATTAATATCTAACTAACAATTTAAAATCTATGGCAGTGACTTATAACAGCGAATATATCTAAATTTGTAGCAAAATGATTTGAATTCTTGACGCTAGATAGCGCCATTATATTCTGTTCACCGACTCGATTTCCGTAAATATTAACAAAGTCGAGGTATTAAATTTGACGTTCTCCGGAAATGTTGCTTTTAACAATTTTTCCAACATTCTTAGAATTTCTAAATATTTTCCATCAAATTACGCGTTGTTTGCATTTCGAAACATTAAAATCCTCCAATGCGTTCAGAAGTTATGATTTTTTAAACCTACGCATGAAATTCCAGGGGAATCAGACAGATATGGTCAGACATTGTATTTTCGGTAAAAGATTTTTTTTCTCGAAAGTGCGTAGGATTTCGTGAGTATGTCTATTGACCAAAGATGATTGTAATTGACCCCTGCAACTGAAAATAATTTTTTTAGAACGATTTGAAATTTTTGAATTTCGCCGAAAAATTTAGGCAGCTACTCGAATTTTTTTCTCGAAAATGTGTAGGAATTCGTGGATATGTCTATTCACCAAAGATGATTGTAATTGACCCCTGCAATTGAAAATAATTTTTTTAGAACGATTTGAAACTTCTTTTTTCGCCAAAAAGTTTCATAATGTATAAAGTTTACTCGCATACCTCGTCTGTGATATTAGTTATAATTATTATCATATTAATATTAAGGAAGGTCTGTCTATTAAATGACATACGTTCTTTACAACTCTGATCTAAAATTAAGTACAAAATTTAAGTAACGCGCGTAAAATGCACTTTTGTTTCGACAGAGAGAATGCCCTAATTTGTATAAGATGTCTCTTCGATAGCATCTAAATGGTAACTTAGTTGATTGGATAATTAATTAATACCATTTCCGGACTGAGATTGATGAAGGAAAGCTTATGTTTATGCAAGAGGCGACGTTGTTTTAATGAAAACGATATCTCTCTTTTAAATTAGTTTCCAAGTCCTCCCTAGAATTCATTTAAGAGTTTTTAAAAAATATTAGCTCTACAAATTTCTGCTAATAACCAATCAGTTCGAAGACGCGGAGAAACTGAAACTTACAATTACGTTATATAATTATATTTATTCCGGAAAGTAATAAAAACTGCTTGTTTAAGATAATTATATATTTATAATATCGAGGCGCTTGATATTTAGAATCGTGTATTTGATTTTAACAAGCACCGGGAATGGTAAACGATCAGTTAGTTTATTTTTAACAACACATTTCGTTCGAGATCGCGATCAAATTTATAATTGCTTCCAATAAGCCCCGAGTTCGAGACTAATTGGGATCAGAAGACGTTTAAGTTCCTTCTTTTCCTTCAAAGAGAATTTTTCCCGGAAAGTTTCCTTAATGAGGGACTCAGATAAGGCGTTAATTCGGAAACGGGGAACTCTCATTAGCAACCGATACTCGTTAAGCTTCGTAATTTGCGAGACTGGAGCAATAATTGGCAATTGGTGTTTACATTTATATCGGAACTTAAAACTTATTCTTTGCAGTTTACTCGAAATTTGACTGTTACACCGAGAACTTACTCGATATAATCTTCCAATTAACAGAAAAAGCAACCGCCGTTCTTCCAATTTCTTGCTTTTCTCTCATTCATTAACTCGACATCCAGTTTCCTTAAAACTCATTAGTAGCGGCCTGGTCCACTTCCGTGTCATTCGTCCCGCGTTTATGCCTCGAATTAGTTTACATTTATGGATACAGGTTTAATTTAATTTTTCCTCGATAAAAGGAAAAGATGAGCGATATAAGATGCCAAACATTTAAAAAAGAAAAGAAAATGCATCGATAATTGGTTGCAAATAAATTATTTCGTATTATCCGTGGAATGGCCTGGTGCAAAGAGTTCATTTCACGCGAATTCCCAGTTGCTGATAAACGAGATTCATGGAGTTCCGCCAGGTAAAACATTTACGGCCCTTCGGAATAGATGGTATCGCGAGATTGGATTTAAAATTAAATCGATGAGCTTTTGGATCTTCCAAACGCGAGAACTGTTTTAAACGGAGAAACTACGAGGAAGAAGAAAACTAAATGGAAGACGTATTGCTTGTAATCTGCGTTTCGTCGTCGCTTTATTCATACCATAAACGCCTTAAACTATGAAACTCTGTATTCACGTTGCAATATCTGGTCATAAAACGTTGAGTAGCAGCTTTTCAGGCAAGCAGAAGTATGATTTACTGCAACTAGGATAATAGGAAATAATGGAGTAGTCAAGTTTGGATTCAATTGGAGGATTTTACAGGATTATGAAATATTTATCATCGGAATGGAAAGATTATAGAGAAACTTTGATCGTTTCAGGAGAGACAAGAGGTCCTAATGTAGATAGTCGATTGTGGATTGGATCGAGACGAGCAAGAGATCGTAAACTAGCCAACCTTGAGGCGAACAAAGGATCATAAGAAGCCAATTTATGGGCAAGACGTCGTATCGTATAGCTCGACACTTAGAAAAGATCCCTGATGAAGCGGTGCAAGTGTGTGGTGAGGATGGTGGGATCTCATACTTATAGGGTGCTATCATAAATTAAAGAAACAGCGACAGGGATGCTTGGAAAAGATGAAATAAAATATTCGTGCACGCGAAAATTCATCTTGACGAAATAAATAAATCAACTGTGGATACGATCTGGATGAATGGGGAAGTCGTAAAGTAGGCAACTTTGGAACGAAGAGTCCGTTAGATTTAGAATAAACAGGGCATCGTAAAGCAGTTAACTTTGGGAGGAAGAAGCGACCGTAAGAAGCCAACACGGTGATCGATGAATCTTGGCGTAAACAAGAGATAATAAATATCTAACTTTCGAGCAGGCAAGGGATCATAAAGGAGCCAACTTTGGGACAAACGATAGATCATAAAGAGCCATCTTAACGATAGACAGTTGATCGTAAAGGAGCCAAGTTCGGGATAAACAGATCATAAGTGGTTAAGTTTCAGACGAAGGAGCCAACTTATAGCTTGGATTATAAGGAAGTTAAGTTTGGGACGAGCCAGGAGATTACTTTTCGTTGGATTTAAATGTGACATTTTTCGAGAGGCCTACGCCTACGCTTATGTTAAAATGTTCCTTATTTTCCCGTGCATCGTCACGTCGAATCGTTAATCGGTTTACCGAGCGACGCGATCATTAGCTGCTCATCAGTGTCTTCGTCTGGCACGTGAGGGCAAACGGGGAAGATTATCCGTAGCATGTCGCTATTAGGTCTGAGGTGTGCGTCACCGAATACCTTGGCACCAGCTTTCCGAGCTTACAATGTATTTACGTGTCCAATAATCGCGTCGTTGACATGTCATTGATAATTTTAGTGTCGACGGGCAGAAACCATTTCGCAACCCCGCGTCGGGGAGACAGGCATTCGATACTGCAAAAAACCTATTACAGTAACCGTCAGATCTGTGATATTGCAATATCGAATTATATCTAGTCACGCGACCCAAACGCAGATCA